TTGCACTAAGGTCTCCCCTCTTTCTCTTAGCTTATGTTTGAATGTGCTAGCTGCCTTACCCCAGCATCCTGCACTGATGGTTGGGCTAAACCAGCTGAGGGCAGTCATACTGTAGGTCTCAAATTTGACAGTCATTTTAGGAGGAGTGCATCAGGCATTGTGATACACTAGAGAACTATCTAATGCTCCTAGGACACTGAACCTGGCGTAGCAAAGAAATTCATAAAGACTGCAGACAACTGAGCTGTTTTTTAGGACTACAGTATATTGTTCACGCTTTTAAAGGGAAATGGCTAGAAAGGGTACCCGAAGCTTGCTTGTGCTGTGTTTTCTGTCCAATGTTTGGGCTAATTCCCATAACTGGTTCTGCTGACACCTATAAAGACAAGTTTGAAGGCAGTGAGAACTTTGAAGTGAGAGAAATTGAAAGACTGTCTCAAAAATCCACCTACTGTATGTCCTTAGGTCCACTTAAAGGTTTCATCAGGACTTGTGACAACTGGCAAGAAATTATAACCCTTCTAAATGAAAATAAGAATGACCTTTTGGTCTGCCAAACCACTCCCATTTGAATGTCAGATGAGTACTTCTTTGAGCTGAAGTGTTTTTAATATTCCAGTATGTTAAGCATAGATAAAAGGCGTGTGAATAATTAGATAATCTCAAAGATTCAAGTTTTAATAAACGTTTAACATTAGATCACAAGCAATTACTAAAATATATTTTCTGAATACTTAATTTTGTCTTAATTACTTTTAAAGGCAGTGACTACAATAATTAAAACTTTTTTAACTGTGAATTGTTTAACATAGGGCAAACTAAACTACCAAAATCAGCTTCAAGTAGAAAACATTTTTTACAAAATATAGTGCCTTGCAAGAGCATTCACCTCCTCCCAACAAAGTCTCATTTTGCTCAATTATGATATACAAAAAATCCTCTGTTTAATGGACTAATAAAAGAGAAGGGTGTCTGTTATTGTCGAATGTCCATTAAATCACAAAACTTTTCAGTCTCAAAACAAAGTTTTCATATTTTCTTGCTTTAGAGCAGCTATGACACTTTGAAATAGACCAAATATATTGAAAGCTAGGGTATCCAAATAAGTAAAGCTTATGCATTAATTACTGTCAATAAATCATATCCCAGTGTAACCAGGTGGTGAGGTGTGGGGCACAGGAGTCGGGAATAGTACCTTGCGCAGGCTGGTAGTTAGATACCTAATACTAATTCCCATACAGTATATTAATACTATTAATACCTAATCATATTATTAATATTATAATATTATTATCAATATACAATTGTGTTCATTATGAATAGTATTGATAATCTGTTATTAATATAGCTTAATACCATTATTAATAATACTAATATTCTAATACCCGGCCCCCTTAAGACAGGGTTACACCAGCATGCTTAAGATCATGTATAAAAATGCTGGTTGCCTAAAATTATTGCCAACATGTCCGCAAGATGAGAACTCGGTGATCTGGAATGAGAAGTGACTGTTACAGCCAACTTGCCAGGAGCTTCAGTTTCCAAGACAGCGTAACTTGCTTATGTTTCACTAGCAGTGGTGTCCAAGGAGGTGTCAGCATGTACAGTAACTCAGAGGGAAAGAGTCAAAGCCAAGTGCAACAGTGGGCGTAAGTGCATACTCCAGGATCGTGATATCTGTGCATTAGTTTGAAATGCAAAACTGTCATGCCCTCTGTAGCCAGAGGGCACTCGTTCTCTGTCCTGTCTCTCTCTGGGGCTATATATTTCCGGGTCTTTCATTCTGCCGGCGCTCAGCATTGACGTTCGGATGTCCTGAAACCCGCCTGGCACCAGGTCGTCCCACGTCTGCTACCTGAGGGCATACTGTAGGTTTCTATATGGCATTCTCTGAACAGCTGAGGCCGGGCTAACCCCCGTCTCGCTGCTACGTATAGGGTCTTTTTGCTCTCCTGTCATTCCACGGTTCGTCCCTTCCGACATCCGTGACAAAAACAAAACAAGAGAGCAACTCTAGAACAATTGGCTGCAGACTTCAACCTCTAGCATAAGCAGTGAGTTTTGTCAAAGACGGCCTGTCAGGACCTCCATAGTCAGAATGCAGTGTATATGCACTGTACTGCTCATCACACCCGGAAATCCAAGCTTCGAAGTCCAGTGGTCCAAAAAGAATGGTCAATGGATTGCCAAGCAATGGCGAAATGGGATATGGTCAGATGAATCATCTTTCACAATCTGTCACTGGGCAAGCGGACAAGCGCACATGTGGCGCAAATCTAAAGAACTCTACAGCCCAGTGTTGCCGGTTCCAACAGCGAAGAGCTCTGGTGGTTCTGTAATGTTGGGAGATGGATTTTCCCACATGGTCATTTCTTTAGAAGACAAGGTTAATGCTCATCGCCAGTATGCAGATCGGGAACAGACTTACCCAAACAAACTTGCATCTGCAATTGCTTCCAAAGGTGCTTTCAACAAACACTGAATTTTCAAGTTTGAATACTTGAATACCCTTCATAGACTTTTCTCTTTTCTCTCCTAGAGATCTTCACTCTGAGAGTTTGGGTTTTGAAAAAACTACATTTGAGAAAATGTGAATGCATCGTTTCATAATTTCACCAAATTGTACACCATAGATAGGGTTAAGATGCTTTTGCAGTGCCCTGCATATTTGAGTATGGGTATTAAAAATGAAGAAGAAAGAAACATTAGTATTATAAGTAATTATGAAATATTAGCTGTTAATTAAAATGCAATTAATTTAAATAAAATCTTCTGGCAATAACATGATGTTCACTTTCAGTCTCTCCTTTATTGTGGCTCTCTACATACAGTACATAGGCATGATGCATGCTAGGCTGTAAAAGGAAGGTTAACACATCCTCCAGATTGCAAACAAATTGCTACGTTTGCTACGTCATTTACTTTGAAGCCTTGACTAAAATCAGATTCAATTTATGAGCTATGCAGTGTATATTTGCAGCACGGGGTGATCTTGCAGCATTTTGTTCAGCACCTTTTTTCTTTTTTACATTGACTGTTATAGGAGCAGCCATAACATTGTGCATAACACTAAGCTTTGACTGGCAAGTTTGCAATCCCAGATCTTTTTTTAAGGAGAAGTTTAATATTTTCATAGATAGAATAAGCATCAATTTTCTCAAATCAGTCAACAAATCCAATAAACCTTTCAAATAAATGATTTTTATATTTTTGTGTTCCTTTTGTGTTTCGACTGTTGCTGCTTTTCTCAATATTTGTAAAGATTGTTTGGATATGTGTGATTAAAAGAACCACTGTGTTTTTTAGGGAATATTGCATCATGCTTAGAAAACAAATGATATTGTTTCAGAATGCTTTGATAGCTTGGGAATTCGTTTCTCTCATTACAATAAAATGGTGAATCAGTGACTATAGCTGAACGGTATTTTCATGTTTACTTATGCTACTAGTCTGGGAGATTGTTGAGACTGTCGACCAACACAGTTGATGACAAATTTTCATCCACATAAGGTATCTTTTTAACAAAACGTTAGATTATCTGGTATAATAAAGACCCTTGACATAAGTACTGTATGTCACACGATAAAGAAGTAGAATATACTATACATTCCTTATTGTGTTGTACTATTGGAAAGAGAACTGATGCAAGAAACCTGAAAAGAGGTATGAAGATTTGTTCAATGTACCTCTGGTGCATTGTATAAAGACAAAAATAGAAATCCATCGAGTTTATGTGAAGGGCAACAATACCCATGTAACCTAAGTGCAACTCAATGCAGTGGCTGGTAGATAATAAACAGCAGGATAAACAATTCAGTCTGTAAGAAGCTACGTGACTCTTACTGCTGTTGGCAGAGTGGTCCCATATCAACATGGATGTACAGCAAGTGAAATTCTTGTGGAATCTAGAACTTCCGTGGTTATTGTACTCTCATCTTATATGGAAGAAATTCTTGCTGTTTCACATACATCTCTCTGTGGGCACTTTGGGAAGGAAAAGTGACATTAGTCTGAAACATCTAGACTGCTTGAGCACAGCTTCTGCCTACCTATGAAAATTATCCTATAAAGTATTTTCGTGGAAATAAGAAATCCCCAGTTAAAACTACCCTTGCAACACAGTAAACAAATGTAATGCCTGGCATCATATATCATTTACCAGACAACAACACTAACCTTGCTCTATCCCCACCAAACTGCCCCACTAAATCCACTCTCTCCTTTATGTTCAAATTGGGCTGGTGTTTAGGATTGTTATCTCAACTACACAACACAGCCATAAACAAGTATTCCTGACACACATAAAGCAAACTGATAAAAGAGAGTATTGTAACGCATACGGCCAACATCAGAGGCTGTGCGAGCTGGCTTGTCAGCGCTGTGACGTCACCGCCCTTCACTGTGAATAGCAGGGACCTCAGCCCCCTGGCTGACAGGAGATTTCCCTTTAGCTCAGCTGGCTGGTTCCCTGTTTAGTGACACCAGAGGCCCGGGTTCGAGTCCCCAGCGGCGGGGGGCCAACCTGAGGCGGCAGTGGCGAGGGCGCATACCCGCGTGAACCATAGAGCGCTAGAGTATTCTCTTAAATATTAATTAAGATATTTATGGAATCATTTATCCCAGTCCTTTTATTACTAATTTATTGAGCCAACTATTTTATCCCCAGCAATTCACATTTAATAATTGCTTACACTTATATAGTGCTTTTCTAGACACTCCATTCAAAGCATTTTACTCCCCTCCACCACCACCAATGTGCAGCCCCACCTGGATTGCCACACAGGATTTTGGCTCTGTTTACAAGTCCAGAGCCGCTCCACTCTCCTGGGCTCTTCCAGAGCTGACTTGTTTCCAAACTGAAGTGCCTATTGACTTATGTCAAACCTATGTGTATAAATAGGCCAAGGCAGAGGGTACACGGCCCCTTTAAGGCCTTTTAAAGCTTCCTGTTGTTTATCCAATGGCGAAATAATATGCTAGATTTTTCTACCAATCAGATGGCTTCATGTTATTCGGTCTCTTAAGTTTGATGGGCAAAGAGAGGTTCTTGCTTAACTAATAATTTGCAGTGCAACTGTCAAAAGCTTATTTTGTACAGCGTACGAAGTATATTAATTGAAAAATGAGTTTATGGACAAGTACCCACGAGAGTGGCCAATGCACCATTTTCGCCTTCAACTAGCGACAGGTAAGCTTTCTGCCAACATTGAAAACTGGTTCACGAGTACAATCCATAGTGATGATGTGTCAAGTCAGTCTGGCTTTATGAACATTTTCGGTATTACATAAATATTTTTAACATGCGTGGAGGTTCACACCCCATTTCGGTCATTATCCTTCCCCAACAGTACAATAAAAAGATTCACTTGTAGGATAGATTTTTTGTAATCTTTCTCATGTTAAGTGTTGAACTTCATGTTATCAGTGAGTTAACGTATCCTACTCAATACAAGCTATTTTCAGACACCACAGAAAGTGTCCCTGCAAAAAACAAATCGAAAATACATAACTTGCGTAAGTGCTGGTTAGACGCCGAAAATATTCAGTGCAACTTGAATAACGAAGACCTTTATTTTGTTATACCAATTGCAATAGCTATCTAGAGAAATATTTTAGCTTACTCATTCAATTAACACTTTAGGAGTTATTAAGGAATTCGGGATATAGCTAGAAAAGTGCTGTCTCATTTACATGTCTGTCATCTTTAGTCCTAGTGTAATACGTTTAATAAAGTTTAATTTTTACAGTATGTATGTCTTTGACCCATGGGAACTTGCACTGTTTGTTATAAAGTTTCATTTTACGAATCAGGTGACAATTTTCACACGCCTGCTTTGTAGTATTTTAGTTAATCCTTTTGCACGTGATGCTCCACAGGCTTCTTCTTAACCAGTTTTGCTAAACAAATACGAACGTCGGTGCTAATGAACCACTAAACTGTATGGACAGGTTTACAGTACAGTACATACTGGAAGGCACAAACGTTTATTCTCGTACGTTCCCTGCAATTAATATCTATAAGATAAAAAGGCCGACCTAAATGTTAACGGAGCATAGTCGTATTTTTTCAATGATATATAGTGGGTATACCCCCAGGACACAATTTAAGGGCACTGAGGTTTTGAAGTTGCATGCATTAGTGAAAGATAAACCTTCAAAACATTTCGAATGTCACAAGATTTCTGTCCCTTTTATTGAAAGATTTTTCTGTCAACGAATTATTAAACAAAGACATGCTCATGTTGGTGAACATAACATTTAGGCTACTTCGAGTAAAATCCAACCTGAATCTTAATATTGTGGAGGGGCTGCAAGTCCTTTCCTTGTGTAGGCTTAACATGAAGTTCACATTGATATAACATGATGAAATCATTGCAAAAGCTTAGAGATGCACTGAACTGTAAGACACTAGTCTGTTGAACTTGGGATTTGAGTTTAGTTGAGCAGAAAGTGTTGGTTGAAGTGACTTTTGAAAGCAGGGTTTTCCAACCCTCTTTCTGGAGAGTCTCTGTTTAGGAGGTTTTATAGGTAATCATTAACTTATACATTTCTGAAGACCTGGAAAAATTTGACATTGTTCAGTGGATATTTTGTTAAAATTAAGAAACTTAGAAAACATCAATTTTCAAAAACCACTTAGACCGGCACAGAGTCCTGTTGAACCAAAGCCCAACCTGACAGTGGGCGCAAGGCAGGATCCACCCTGGACAAGTGCCATGGACTGGCATCCTGCTCACCGGGGACAATTTAGAGATGCCGGCTACCCTAGGGAGGAGACCAGAGCGCCTGTTAGAGCCACATGCAGCCACGATGACAACATGGCAAACTCCACACAGCAGGTCCCCAGGCTGGACTCAAACTCAGCGTGGCAACAGCGCCGACTATCAGGCAACATCTGGAACAAGACACATCGGATCTCAAGGACCTGAGTTACCTTATGTGAACAATGTAGTGTAACGCATACGGCCGACAGGTACTGTGTAAGAGCCGGCTTACCAGAGCGGTGACGTCGCCGCCCTTCCCTGTGATAGCAGGACCACAGCCCCTGGGCTGTGGAGAGATCTCTCTTGAGCTCACCTGGCTGGCTCCCTGCTGAGTGACGCGTGAATCCCGGGTTCGAGTCCCCGACGGTGGGGGGCCGACCTAATGCGGCAAGGGCGCCCGCCTGAGCCCCGAAGCGTTACAGTAGTGTCCTGTCCCCAGGAGACAGCACATGCTCTGACACTATAAACTCTGCTATTTGGTTGACGTTGTTCAGATGTCAGAATCCAGGCTTCAAAAGGTGGTTCTCTTTTGGGCAGTTGCACCAGAGGACAGGTGTAGGTTTCTTAATATATGGTAAAAGTAAAATGTTGCATTGCATCATATCAGCTCCCAGAGGATTATGGCCCTTGAACGAACTGGTTGGAGGAATAATATCTGGGAAGGAGCCCAGCACTTTCAGACTCAAAGAGACCAGAATAAGAAAGCACAGTGAAAATGTCTCACCTTGACCAGAATGTGCATTACAAAACCAGATATCTTCAGAGACAACACCCACCCAACCTGCGAGAGAGAGTGCAGATCCTGTACCGGAATGATCAGGCGCCTAGGGGCTTATGGAAGACCCTCTTTGACTGTGAGGGATCACCAATGACTTGATAAATTGTTCAAAAACTTTCAAATGATCAAATAATTAAAAAAATACAGGTGATAGGGTGCACTATAGGATTAACTGGACGAGTTCTCCAGGATGAGGGTTTGAGACTCCTGTGTTAAAACCTTAAACATGGGTGGCTCCACAAAACCTGCACAATACACAGTAAGTCAAGTCTGGTCATTCCTGTTCTGTGCCAGACAGTGAGGTAGTTATAAATTGTAATGGATTTGAAAAGGATACAGCTAGAATTTGTACTTCCATTATATAATTCGTTAGGTACACTTATTCAGAAGAGGGACTGAATCTGTTGAAAGCTGAAGATAAATTTCATCACTCAATGTTGGCAACATCCTATCTGATGTAAAAATTGCATGTGCTGTCACAAGAGTCCAACAAAGCAAATGTCTCTGCTCTAGTCAGAATGACTCAGAATCTGCACTGTCAGGTACATTGTTTGCTTTTAGGAGCTGTTTGCTGTGAGGTTCTTTAATATCTCTGTCTAAAAAGGTTGACATTTTTGCTTTGTGACAGTTGATATATGCACCACTTCAAAATAGGGCTGGGCGATATGGCCTAAAATTTAAATCACAGTATAATTCTAATTTTGGATGGTAACGACATGTATCACGATATAGAGTTTTTAATAATAAAAAATCTGAAGCTTTTTATTACCAGTACTTTTCATCAATCAGATTTGAAATTAGAATGCTGGTGAATAAATACAGTAATCTGTATGTATTTGTTTAAATAACTGTGTGGTATTGTATTGCCTCTGTCTCTGCAAGAAGAGGGATAAGATACTTATAGACTGAAAAGTTTCTATTGGCTTTGAATCTTTGTCCATGTACTCTCCGGCATGTCTTGAATTGCAGATGCTGCTGGGTTCGGTGGTAGTGTGTTTCAGGTTTTGGGTGGAATTTCTTTCCTGTTTCCTCATTACTGTTGTAACCATATTATCAGTCATACTTCAAACACAGCCATTGTTTTGATAAATACCAACAGCTATACTGAGACTTTTGTATGAGCCATGAGTCCTGCAAACTTGCTGCACTGTTAAAGTAACCATCATTTGAAAAACGTTTTAAATGCTTTCCACAGCCTGGTTTGAAACCAGTTGTTCTGGTGAATTACACAGGTCTTGATAGTAGTTTAATTCTTTCACAAAGCACCTGCCATACAACAAAAACTTGTTTGAAGCATTTGCTTATCTTGAAATTTCAATAACTTCTGATGGATTATACATGAGTGTACAAGTATATGATATCTTTAAATTTTACAACTTCTTTTTCTCAGCTGCTGATGAGAAGTTGTCTTAACACAGTGTGATATACTCCCTGGCAAAAGATACTGTACATGTAGTCTGCATGTGTTTTTAACATAGTGTTTTTGAATATGTGTTGTATTTGATTAGAGAGATGGTTGGAAAATGACAAAACTGTCCCTTACGTTTTATGTTACTTTGGTTGTGTAAAGCAGAAAGGAATGATGTTCTAGTACACCTGAAGCTTCAAAAGATGTTGGCAAGCAAATTGACAGATAATTGGTCATAAGCTGCAAAGTGGATAGTTCAGAGTTATTAGACCTGCTAAGACCCTTCCATCATCTTTGAGAGTGTTGTTTTAAGAATGCCACATTAGAGATATTTATCCTCACTAACCTTTTTAGTGATTATATGTCACTCCAAGACACAAAAAATCAACCACAATTCTTCCAGAAAGTAATTAGTAGGATAGTGTCCTACTTTTGTCTGACCTGGTATCTCTGGGACAGCACTGATTATCATATTCAGGGTCTTTGAAGGCATCCGCAAACCCTAAGGGAGATGGACGTGGAGACTATCAAAGAATGTAGCATCATTCCCCACAGTCAGATGAAAACTCTAATTAGCTTAATTAGACTGTATCAGTTGATACATATAGCACTTTGGCCTATCTGAGATGTGCCCAGGTAGCAAGGTTGAGTTTTTAATGTACAGTGAAGGTGACTAATGAAATTGAAAATGGTTAAGTTTGCTAACACTACAGTAGCATGCATTACTATTAAGAAGTAATGTCTGTCTGGTTGCCTACATTTTTACCTGTAGAGCTGAAGATGTGTTCCTAGAGTCTCCACTAATATCTGCAGTTGGTGACCTCTGGCTGTAGTCTTGTCTTCTTCTGTTTCCCTTGTCTACTGTCTGTTTTTCCCCTTTGCCTGAGGAACAGGTGGGTTTATAACCCTAAATAATGTCAACCAAGACAACCAATCAAAATCTGACTGCAATCCCATTGTGTAGAGGCATATGTGCTTTTCATCACCTTAAATGACATTTACCCATTAGGTACTGACTACTCAAACATTTTGAATGGAACACATGAGAGACAAATATTTTGAAATAGACAAAACAGTCTAACACTATCATAAACTTAGATAAATGCATAAAAACAAACAGTTACTAATAAGTAGAAAAGATATATTGTGAATTATTTTAAAAATCTCACAATGGAATATGAATATATCTATGCTACATAGTTAATTCAAAAGACAAATATTATTACTATTATAAGTAAGTAATGATTATTCATTTTTAATTAACTAGTGGTTCTCAACTGTGATGCTGGTGTGCTTCTTTGTCTTCTGGCTTTCATTGAAGTTGAGCTTTTAATTGCTTAGGCTAATTAAAGCCTTGAACTGAACTACTATACTTCTTTGATCAGACCTTTTTATTTTCTAAACTGTTTTTTGCTGTTGAAGCATAGACTTGGGTTAGGAATTAACATCAAACCTGTATCAGTTTTTGAGTTTTCAGAGCTCCTCCCGTTTATGTGTCTGGAAAAGGGACACATGGAGAGCAAAGACTGAATGATCTGGCAGTGGCTGAGTCTGTGTTATTCCTGAATCATTATTCATCATGAATTGGCCACTTATTAAGACATGTTCATACAGTTTATAGGGGAGTAGAAATTGAATAGGCAAGCTGAAAGATTAGCAGATTTATATTTGTTGAATTTCTTGGCAAGGTGATTTTGAAACCAGAGAGACGTACAGTCGTGCAGAAAACAGTTCAGGAAGGTCTAATGAAGCCAGCAGTTCAGTTGAAGGGGACATTTCGTTTCTCAGATGGAATACCAATCTGATGATAGAGGAGTCCTCAGGGACTGGGGTTCAGAAGCAGTGTTTTAAAATTACTCTAGTTTATTAGCTGAAAGATCTTAACTACTACTGTCCAGGATGTTTGAGTGTTCATTAAACTTAAGAAGCGCAATTTTCTTACATCTGAATATATAACATTCTCTTTTAAAGTACATTAATTAGGACGAGTTGTAGAATAAGGCCAGTTACTTAATAACAATGAAAGGAAAGCTGGAGAGGCTGGACTTTCAAATGGTCTGAAAAATATTCTTAATTTACCAGCTATTGTGAAAGCTAGAAAAATCTGCTTTCTCTGTTTTTAAAAAACAGGTCTTTTAGAGGTCTTGGCTTCAATCCTCTCTTTTAAACTCTTGGTACATGTTTAAAAAAAGTACTATACTCCCTGGCAGGGCAGGGTTGAAATTGTTTTGTAGTGTTAGAATTTGAAATTGAACATGATTTTTATATCCCAGCCACAGAAATTTTCTCTGTTCCCAATGTTGTGTTAGTAACTTGTAGATTTTATAAAAAGATTTGAAAGTAATAATTATTTTGTCCTTTCCTCTGTAAATTCATTGATATTTTTAATCTGAGTTCAACTTGTTTCAGATGTATTAATGGAATTTTGTGTTAGAACAGTGATTAAGAAAGAATGTTTCTATAGTATTACAAATGTGTCATACAGGCCAAGATATAATTACTGAATGATGTACAGAATGTCAGAATTCATTTCTGATCACAGATAGCCTATTAGAAGTGTAATTGAAACCTATATTTCATTATTTGTTTAGACTTTATTTGTTCATTATTCTTTGAATTCCAGACTTTTGCATTTAGACCTGACCCTTGTGTAAATATCCCATTAAATGAATGTTTATGCTGGGACGGGGACTTGAAGGCATTTTTGCAGTTTATTGAGCAGTACCAGACATTCCAGGCAATTTAATAGACTTATTTCACTTGTGGTTGTGACTGTAGTGTTCTGCCTAAATCATATGCTCTTAAATTGTTTCAGTAATTGTATAGAGTTAGAAACCACTGTAGACAGTAAAGGTGGTTCAGTTTTTGCCTCAAGCTTGACAAGTTTTCTTTTCCACTTCCTTTTAGGTACCCTCTACAATCATGGAGGCTTAAAAGGATTTGAGCGTTTGGGGGGGGAAAGGGGTTCTTCCCCTTTGCCGGATGGTTTCGTTTGAAAGAATTGATTGAAGGTTGTCAGAATTGTTGCCTTTGCGGAACACTTGAAAATAAAACAGCACTCAAAACTGTAAATTGAAAACAGAAGTATATATTTCTAAACTTTTATACTTTATTTATTGATGCTGCATAAAGTGCCAAATGTGTTCTTCTACTATGTTCTGCGTATCGCAGTTTTCAAGCTGGATTGAAATGAACTGAAAAGGGGCAATGTGGGGTTGCTAGCGTGCAGTGGGATTTTAACACAAGCACAGTTCTAGCACCCTGCTGATTTTCTGGCTCAGGTACCATATTTTTATTACCATATTTCCCAGCGTAAGAGTTAGCCTCTTTTTCTGGAGAGGATTAGTAGGGATTACTAAAGCATTGCTAGGAAAAATCGGGGACTGACTCACTGAGGCAATTCAGAATGAGCCTGTTGCCCCCAGACTGCACAACCAAGTGCCGGTCTCTTCAGCACGCTCGGGAGGTCATCTCTGCGCTGACCAAGGGCACAGAAAGCCAGCTCAAGGCCTTTCTCACAGCCCGTTGCCACAATGCAGCCACGCTGAAGGATGAGTTCGGCCGGACGGCCCTTCACTTTGCAGCTTCGCTCGGGCAAAAGTCCCTTCTGGACTGGCTCCTGGAGGTGAAAGGAGCAGACCTGCTGGCGAAGGACAAGGAATCAGGATGGACGGCCTTGCACAGGAGTGTGTTCTACGGCCACATTCACTGCCTCATGTCGCTCGTTAAGGTACGAGCTAAGGAAGTTGATTCTGTTTCCTTTTTGACATCATATTTTAAGTGTTTATATGTTTTTCTTGACAATTATTACCACAGTTGTACTGCAGTAACTGGAGTTATAATTACAACTAATGGTATTTGTTAAGTGTAGCTTAACGGAGTTAAGACAAATTAATGCTATATTCTGTATAGCTAAAACAATCACAGGTAGAGATATACGGTAAGAACCCTTAACCAAGTGGTATTTACAGGTAGAAATAGTTCCTGTAGATTATAATGTATACATTTATAACATTTCAACTGACGTCCTTTAGATAATTCATTAGTTTAGGGGGTGCTTCATTGATAGTTGTGTTGGAAGTATATTCATACCTGGAAATTTTCTCCTAAGGTGTTTATTGATTAGTATAAAGTAAGAAATAGATAATGTAAAATGAAGACTGCATGGACCACTGGCCTAGTTGTGTTCTGATGGCCTAATGTAAGGGAATTCTAAATGCCGTTAGTTTTGTTTCTGTTTTTTTCAGCATGGAGGCTGTCTCAGTACTCAAGATAAAGAAGGGCTTTCAGTTCTGGATTTGGCTATGAAAGATAGACCAGCACACGTTGTTTTTAGAAATTCTGGTAAGTGTGAGGAAATTTCAATCTGAATAGATTTTTTTTTCAAAATAAGGTGCATGCGCTTTTGTTATTTAAGCTGTATTATTTTTTACCCTAATTTCTCTTTTATTATTTTCATTTTTTTATGTGTATCTCCAAGTTTGTGCTTCATGCATGAAACTATAGGTTTTTAATGATGGTCAATGGAGAACCAGTCTGACAATGTTGCTGTAGTTTTCTCTCTTTACTGCACATTTGGGAATGTTATTACCAGTAAAATACATTTCTCATCTTTCAAATGATACCACATAATGCAAAAAGTGCAGATCAATTTATATACTCAAAGTATATAACCCCTATCATACAATTAAGTTCTCATTCTTTTGTTTATCTTAACTTTGTCTAGGCATTTCTCAAGCAAGAAATGGAGACTTCATTTGAAAACTCCAATTTGAAAGTTATGTTTTATAGCCAATTGATAGTAGCATTTCAAAACAAATATTTTTCAATATTTCAGATCCCACTGAAGTGTATACATGGGGAAATAATACCAATTTTACTCTGGGTCATGGGAATCAACAGAGTAAACATCACCCTGAACCTGTGGATTTGTTCTCAAGGACTGGTGTTTATATTAAACAGGTATTTAATTTGTCTTCCTTGTGAAGTGAAAATGAAAGGTGAAAGAACACGCCAAACAAGTTAATTAATATTTTAAAAAGCAAACAAAAAAAACTAGTTTCATTATAGCTTTCTTTGTATTAACATCTATTCAGCACTTCTTCGAGTCTGTGGTGTCCATTTGTTTTGTAGGATTTGGGTTCTTGCGCGTTTTTCTGATGAAAGCTGTTCTGTCTACTACACATAGCCTTGCACAGATTGTCTCAGACTTGGAGTGATGAAGCCAGTTCGTAGACGGGAATGATTAGGAAGCCATGACTGGTAAAGGCCAATTGGCCAAGATGCCAGGGTAAAACCCCTATTCTTTTCGAGAAACACCTTGGGATGTTTGATGCCCACAGAGAGTCAGGACCCCAGTTTTACATCTCATCAGAAGGACGGTGCCTTTTTACAGTATAGTGTCCCCGTCACTATACTGGGGCATTAGGACCCACACAGACCATTGCGTGAGCCCATTGGATGACCTGCTGCCCCCTCAAACACCTCTTCCAGCAGAAACCTTAGCTTTCATGGGAGGTCTCCCATCCAGGTGCTAACCAGGCTCACACCATCTTCAGTGGGTTGCCAGTTGTGAGTTGTGAGCAGGGTGATATGGGTAGTATTCTTATTCTTATTAATTTATAATTTTAATCCAACATGGTGGTCATCACCCAGATCCTGTATCCCATATGTATAATCTGCAAATTTAACTAATTTACTAACTATATCAGAATCTAAACATTGGTACATATCATGCAGAGCAGTGGGCCTAAAACAGTTCCCTGTGGCACACCTCTGCCCGAATAGAATTTGTACCTACAGTGTTAAGGTGATGTGCCATTTCCTGTTCATTACGCAGCTGTCAATTAATGAACACATTACCTTGGATTCCCATGTCTTCTAATTTGAGAATAAACCTTTCATGAGTGACGTTGTAAAATGCTTTCTGGATATCTAAATACATAACGTTTTATGCATTGCTGTCTTTCCTACTTCCAAGTATTATTTCTAAAATTTCACCTGTATCAGAAATGTGACAAGTGATTTTTGTGATTTGGTTTTATAAGGTGGTGTTAAATTATTTTTCCAGTCTATGGATACTTCTCTGAATGTAAGTTAGAGTTGAGTTGAAATAGCCTAGCAGATGATCTACTGTGTGAACATCCCTTATTACCATATTTGATTTTAGCCACTCTAGCCCTGGTACATTAGTTCTCGTAGTAATTATTAAAATGCTGTACAGTATCTAGAGTATATGGAGCTGCCTATTTTACTTTTTTATGTTGACCTTTGGTTAAGATTTCTGCAGCATCCAGTTTTTTTTGTTGCTCTTCTTTCTCTGTGGCTTCAGTCACACGCTGCCAGCTCTGTAAAACCCATCTTTTTTTATGTTTCATTGTCACAGGAAACAGCTCATAAATGGCTCATATGCCAGGTCAGATTTCACTGGCCATGTTACCTGTGATGTCTCTTAGTTTCATTTGTGTTATAGTGTTCTGTTTTAGTTTCCGGGAGTGAATTTTAAATATTTATTTTATAATGACACACTTTCATTAAATGAGTGACACGGGGGGTAAGTTCTTTTCAGCGATGATGTGGTAATACTCCTAGTAACATCAATTCTCTTTAGGCCTTTGTTAGGCTATGCATTAATAATGATGTTTACTGTTGTATCTGGTTGTGTTGCCCTTCTACTTAAAACTGACGTAACATGTTATGAATGACACATTATGCTGTAAATTATAAATGTTTCTGCTTTTGAATTTTAAAATTTGAAGTGTTGCATTATATTTGTAAACAACACAGAGCACAAGAATGTGTAAGCATTAACAATTTTGTGTTGCGTTGTCTTTCAGGTTGTGCTGTGTAAATTCCACTCGGTTTTCTTGTCCCAGAAAGGCCAGGTGTATACTTGTGGTCATGGACAAGGAGGCCGTCTAGGCCATGGAGATGAGCAGACATATCTGGTATGATAGTTTGCACTAAAAGGCTCTCATATGTTTCATCTGCCTATATATATTTTTTCTTGCTGGTGTGGAGTAACGAAATGGTATGGCTTTCTGTCAAATCATTGTAAATGCGTGATGCTCACTCGGCAGATTTAAATAGGCTTCATAACTATGAGTATGTTCCTCCTGAGAACTGCTGTCAGGATGCTGCGTGTTCCTCCTAAATAACTTCCAATTTGGCATGAAACTTGTAAAGCACTCCTAGGTTCTTACCAGGAAAATAGTACTGCTAGTTTTCAAATATGGTAATGAAAAATTTATGTTTTTCATTTCTTTTTATGAAATTACATGTTACATAGAGTGTGATTAAGGGGTGGTTATGATCTGAGATTCAATATCTGCTTTCCTTTTCTTGCATGCTTTGTATGGCTTTCATTTTTCACGGATCACGGTGTGTATGAGCTAATAATAACAGTACCATTTTAGATGCTTCAAGGGGCGTATAGTGGAATAGTCTGACAATGGAACAGAATACTTCTTTCCCCTTCACTGACTCCTGTCTCTGGTAGGTTCCACGCATGGTGGAGGGCCTAATCAGCCATCACTGTTCTCAAGTGGCTGCTGCCAAGGATCACACTGTGGTGCTGACAGAAGACGGATATGTTTATACTTTTGGGCTGAATACCTTTCATCAGCTTGGCATTGTACCTCCTCCTTCGACAAGTAATGTACCAAAGCAGGTAAATAAATATTGGCCCTGCTGTATTGTTTCCTGCTGACACTACTTTTTTGGTTCGATTGTAGGTAATGCTTCATGAAGAAAAGTGTAAATCTAGTTGGTTTAAAGACTTTCCGGTGTTCTGGGCAGCTACAACGTTGTGACAAATGGGGGGTTATGAAAATGGAGAATACGCAGGAATTGACCAAGTGGATTAGTCAATAATAAAATAAATATTAATAACCCCCAACTTGTAATAGATTTCTCCAGAATATATTCAAGTAGTATAGTTAGAGGTACACAAATTCTTCTCTGGCACAGATTTGGGTATAGAGTAATAATCCAGGCGCACTTGGTTAAACAAATATTTATTAACAATGACAATACAAACACAACACTACACACAACATAAGCATACAACACAAATATTACTGTATTTACAGTACAGACAAGGAATTCTAGGGGCCTAATGTCCTGACCACCCAGAAAACCCCAGACTGCTACCAAGTATTTTGACTCTTAAATAATGCAGAGGCCTAAATAAGAGATAAGGTGCTTTCTAAACTAAATGCAATACAAACTGCAGTTAAATCGCTCTCTCTGAAACCCAGATGCCACAAAATAAATGGAGCCTATCTTCCTATTCTAAAATGCACCCCCAAGCAGGTAAGGCAATCTAACTGAGGTATTTTTGACACGGGAAACCCATGGACCCTAAAAACACATAATTTGAAGCCTTCTCAAGCAACTACTTAGCAGTTCAGCTGCTTAGCTCCAATCGGTTCATGTGTTCATGTGTTCAGGATCATGTGTGAAGGCTTTTAATTTTTGTTTAAATAAAGAAGACTAGATGTAAGTTAAGAGAATCTTTTATGAAACGAATGCAGGTTTTGTCCAAGGCTCTCAAAGGACGGACTGTTATTGGTGTGGCAGCTGGCAGATTCCATACTGTGCTGTGGACAAAGGAGGCAGTGTACACTCTGGGACTCAACGGTGGTCAGCTTGGTGAGACACAGCTAACACATACTGTACATTGCATGGCTTCTTCTTTGAAAAAGAAGGAGAAGATGCTTAGATTTTTTTAAGCTTTAAGGGAGACCATGAGGTAATTTGATTGTGGCAGTATACAGTATATTTTTAATTTAAATCATGCCTTGGAAGGAAATGAAACAAATGCATCTGTGTCCCCAACAGAACTCAATAAATAACCCACAGAAAGACCTAAAAGCTAACATCTCTGCTGCATCAGTACACAAGCTGTCACATCTCCAGCACATGAGTACAAATTCTGGACTGTTGTTTTTTCTGACAATGAAAAATCAGTCATCAGCTGAAACGGGCTAACGGAGTTACTTTTTGTTGTTGAACTCTCAAGGTTATCTTTCGGACCCTAATGGGGAAAGGTGTGTGACCGCTCCCCGTCAGGTGTCTGCATTGCATCACAAGGACGTCTCCCTCTCCATGGCCGCAGCCAGCAACGGCGCCACCGTGTGTGTGACCGACAGGGGGGATGTGTACCTGCTCACTGACTACCAGTGCAAGAAACTGGCTTCTAAGTGAGTTAGAAACAGGATCACTGCACAGGCAGCTTGTCTCCAGCCTGTACTGGGATTCTCTATGTGGTCTTTCTGTTGTCCTCCGCAGGCAGTTCAACTTGAAGAAGGTGCTTGTAGCTGGGGGCTCTTTGGATCACAGGGTGGATCCCCAGACTCTGAAAGAGGGTGGAGGAGACAAGGTGTCAATCCTAGCCCTGGATGAAGCTGGAAGAGTAAGATTTTCCTCACTGATCCTGTTTTCCCCAATATGATACTGTATCTGAAAATAATCTGAAAAATCAACAGACTTTATGTTAATTAGTTGTTTTCCAAAGATTTTGCATGAAAATATTTTTTTCCTATAATTTTAAGATGAACATATGCCTTCATGACTTGCTTATTCTGGAAAAGAAAGTCATATGCATTGTGAAAGCATATATGCTTTGCTTCCTCCAGGAAGTGGTAAACAAGAACCTCTTATTTTTATACATTTGTATTCTGTAGTTTCTACCTCTTCCATCTTTTTGGCTGGCTAATGATAATAATGTACTGATTCTAAGTAGAAAAACTAAATGCAATAATTTACGTATAACATGGGGCTTAATATTAAATGGCTTAATATTTTCTTGTTAATACCTGTAAATCCTCTGTTAGCATTGTTGTATTCAAAACAATATAATCAGTCTTGTGCTGCCATCTAGAGGGAATCTTTATCATGATTCTTCTAATACTTAGCTCAGTGGTTCTCAAACTGTGGTACGCGTACCTGCAGTGGTACGCGGAGTGCTGCCAGCTGGTACGCCATATGACCCTGGAACTGTGTTGTGTGCGCTGAAAAATCAGGACAGGTTTTCATATTTTCTATTTGAATACATGTCGAATACGCAGCCTACGTACTACGATACAGTGCGCGCTAATACTTCAGTGGACACAGCGCTACTATGTAATTCTAGGAGTAATAGGTTTATTCCATGCTGAAAAAAAGAAGAAAGAGAACACAACATTTCGGCTGTGGAGCCCCGTTTACATTAGATACGAGTTTGGGGGTATGTCCCATGAGGACTTTCTGTTCTGTAAGCCGCTACCAATAGGAACTACAGAAAAGCACATATTTCAGCTTCTGAATGAATTTATCGAAGAGAATGGCATCGACTGGATAAAATGTGTTCACCGCGAGACCTTTGCCATCAAGAAAATGCCTGACGATTTAAAATCTGTTAGACTCTGTTGTGAATTGTATCAAGGCTTGAAAAATTAATTCACATCTGCTTTGCTCGACTAAATAGGCTCACCCCTCTCACTGAAATGGTGCTTTTTAATTATTTTTATTTGTTGTTGTTACTGTTTTGGTTCTGTAAAACGGTTTGAAAAGCCACCTGCAACGACGCTATATCAAATAAAGTTTATTATTATAATATTTATTATATGTATGTGTGAGTGTGTGTGCACACGCGCTCATGTTGGTCATTGAGAATGTATGGGCTTCCTATGAGATGATGACTTGTAGGTGGTACTTGGATGCTTTGGTTGGGTTAGGGGTGGTACTTGGTCCAAAAAGTTTGAGAACCACTTAGCTTGTGAAGGTTGCTGTCACGTCACTGCAAGTAGGTGAAGATAATTCTTACCTTGTTTAACCTTCCGGTACAGGCTAGGTAAAAGTGACTAAGCCTGGTATTTGTGCTGTTTTAACTGCAATGATGAACTTTGAGTTACATTATATTTGTAATAAGGAAAGATGCAGTGGGTAGTGGCTAGGATGGTTTCAGAATACATTACTTTCAATAATAATTCAAGTAGCATTCTGCAAAGTGATCAAGAATTTGCAGACAACTAATAAAGTAACCAAGCTTGAAAAAGACAGAAGTGCTTCTTCAAACTTCAAGGAAAAAAAAAATTAAGTGGTTAACTGAAAGTCAGACTTCAGTAAATTAGTGAACATCTTTATCATGGAAGGAAGGTGCTGATAATTATGCCTGCACTTATAATGGCGACAAGCGACAGAAATTACATGTTTATATTAATATATTTATATATGTTAATTATATATATATATGTTTATTATCATGAAGTTTTTCCAGCAAGGAATTGAAGATGTGGGAATAGATATTTTATTCTTAATTTAATTAAAATCAATAATGTATTTAACTTTGATCCTAGTTTTATAGAAATACTTGATGCGATTTTTCACATGTGCATGGTAAAATGTGTTAAAACGTAAGAACCCAAAGAATGCCATAAAGTATTATACCAATGTTTTGATGGGAATTTTTTGTATTGTATCATTTCAACTTCACACACTTCTTCTTTTCAGGTCTTCTGCTGGAAATCGTCTAGCAGCTGCCTGAAGCAGTGCAGATGGGCTTATGGGCGTCAGGTGTTCATGTCTGATGTAAGCCTTGGTAAAAATGAAATGATGTTTATCACTCAAGAAGGTGAAGGATTTGCAGGGCACTGGGTGACAGACAGTAAGAAGAGCACAGCAAAGAGAGGTGGGTATACAGTATGAAGAAATAAATGTATTGAATTTAAACTTCAAACACTAATAGTTTCTCATCAACCATATTATAGGTGTTTCAATTACATTTTTCAATTACATTTTTGACCTATCGTATTTCACTGGCTTGTGTTACAGAAAATCGTGCTGTGCAGACTTATATGATTTAAAAAAAATAATTAGATTTTTTTTTCAATTGCTTTCATAGCCTGAGGCTTCTGTTACCTGTGGATGTCTTCCTAGTATATGATTGTGTGTATTTTAATCCCTTTTGTAATTGCAGAAATCTAAGGGCTTTGTGAAGTGGTTCTTAACATAAATAGGAATTTTACAAGGCATGGCCTTGCGATTCTGACATGGTACAAGCCAAGTAATGCTGACTTAAATGGCTTAATATGTTCTTTTCGATACTGTTGTTTCTTGGCTTTAAACTCATAGGGATTCCTAGTCTTTATGACTGGATGTTGCCAATGTATCTTTTTCTTAGATTTATATTAAAGCTATCTCCTCTGTTGATTTTGTTTATGTTCCTGGTATAAAGATGATGTTCTAGCCTCTGGAAGTGGTGCAGAGGTGTCCTGTCACTCCGACGGCAGTCAAGCATATGAGAGAATTCAGCTAGAAAAACTTCCCCATGTGCATCGAGCTGTCAGTATTACCATGGAACCCAAAGGACGTAACTTTGGCCTGTTGCAGTCAGATCCCAAGACCAGGTATTTTTTTTTGCTTTTGAATGGACCTTTGATATTTCTCCAGTTTGGTCAATTTCTAAAACCACCAAAATCATCTGTTAGAGGTATGTTATTCCCATTGTATGTGTTCTGTTTTATAAATCCATATTTTAAAATCCAAGAAAGAAATGTGTGTAATCTAAAAATAATGTCCTAATAAATAAATAGGTCCTACAAGTAATTTCCTGATTTCAAGTCTAGAGTGCCTTCTGTCTGAAGTTTGCATGTTACTCAGCACACAGGGGTTCTTGCCAGTATCACTGTGCTTGGGTTTCCTCCCAACTCTCAGAAACATTCTGGCTAGTTTAGTTTGTGCCTCTAAACTGTCTGTATGTTTGAGACCATCTTTAGAATAAGTAGTGAAACACATGGAAATTAAGGATAAGTGCATTTACAGCATGGTACACTTTTTTTTGCACATGTTTTTGCGAGTCGGGAACAAGCTGCCCAGCCATGCTATTGAAACATTTTATGAAACAGACGTATAACGTCCTTCGATGACTCTGCTTTTAGCAAACAAATTAAATAGGTGGAAAGAATGGTCTCATCGCAATTTGTAACCTTTCCTATACAGTATGGACTGGGATCCTGTCCTTGCAGTAGTCCTGCCTCACACCGTGTGGTTCTGCAGTTGACTCTGGGTAGTTGAGACTCTTATCATGAATAACGGCTTTCTGATAGTGGATGGAGTCTACTTAGTACACTGTTTATTTATGTAACATTTCTTGTAACCTTTTTATGTGTTCTCTTTTGTAGCCTGTATGAAATTCCTACCGTGTCGGCATCGGCCTTCTCCAAAGACTTACAGGGGCTGCTTGATGAAGCTGGTGAAACGGATGACCTCCATGATGCAACTCTCCAAGTGGGCAACAGGACTTTCCCAGTGCACAAATATATCCTCGCCATGAGGTCTGACTTCTTTCGAAAACAGTTCTACCCTGAGTCAGACCGGGTTGAATTGCCAGACATTCTTCAAACCAGCGAGGATGCGGTGGGGTGTGAGCTTTTTGTCATGGAAAAAGTCCATCCCGACATGTTTGAACAGCTCTTACAGTTCATCTACACTGACACCTGCAACATGCTCTTCCACGGTTACAGAGCAAAGATACCTCAGGAGGAGAGGTCAGAAGACCACCAGGATACACTTATTTCCACCTTGCAAAAGATAAGCTTTAATGAAGGGCTGAAAGGCAAATCTGCCTATGAGGTTTACAGGAGCTGTCAAGTCAATGGCGATGGAGAGAAACGGAAAATCAAAGCAAAAAACAGCAAGAAGGGTAAAGAGGGCTGTGAGGAGGGCAACCCAGTAAAAACACTGCAAGCCATGGCAAAGAAGTTTGGCATCATTGGCCTGTCTGCACGGTAAGAATGAATTTACAGAAAACGTATGTTTTCATATGTGCTTATTTTTCAGTCCTTGTCATGTTAGTCAAAGACAAAATACTTTGATCTAACTAATAAAAATAACCCGGAATCTAGACTTTAATAAATGAGCTTGAGCTTCATTTTATTTGTGTATGTCCCTGTCCATTTTTGATATGTCTTAAGTTATTTTTCTGTTCGTGCATTGAGCAAGGATATTTGATAGTTTATTGGCAAAACATGAACAGGACATACAGCAAAATACCATGGGGAAAAATATAACTTTGTTTCTAGACTACATTCTAAGATGTCAAAGTGTATATTTTATTTTAAAACTTAGTGTTTTTCTGGACTTTGGAAGATACATTTCCAGTGGTGTCATAAAGAAACTGGAAATTAATCTTGGTCTTGCAGCATTAAGGCTTTCACAGAAGTAAAAACAAACTTTTGCATCTCTTCTTACAAGGATGGACATACACAAATGGAAAACGTTACTGCTGGTACTATTCTCCTGACCATACTTAATGGCGATGAAACTGAGAAGTATATGATGGTCACTGATACTGTATTTTTGAAAATTATTCTAATACCCAGTTTAAAATTGTCAGTTGTTTGTCTTGGCTTTAAAACTACACCCACCCTACTGTGCCATCCTCTTCAAAAAAACTGCACTGACGTCCATCTTCATTTCCACTTAACTCAGTGCAGGGTAGATCTGTCCGTATGCCCGACTCTGTAGGCAAGCAGATCACCCTGCTGGGAGATGCCAGTCCATCTGAGGACACACATACTCGTGTGCTCACTCGTACTTATGAACAGGAGACAGATTTAGACATTTCCATCAATCTTTACAATGTTTCTTTAGAGCCCCTCATGATCACAAAGAGAATGAATGTGCAAACTCCTCACAGTAGGCACCCATGTTGGGATTCAGCCCATGACTTGACCCCAGGAAGTGTCAAGCAAGAGTGCTAACCCTGCAACCCTAGCAGTAACCTAGCAGTAAGTAAGGAGGGCTTTGTTTTCTAGCAATTTCAGGTTTCAGGTATTGTTGCATAATTGTGTGTTACGGTGTTTCAGCTCACTTGAGTAACGTATTTTTTATGAACATTTCTGGACTTTTTTATAGCTTGGATGGAGTTAAGTTTGAAAATGGAAAAATCAACATTTTACACAAGAAGGCTGGGAGCAGACTAAAATTCAATCAGAAGAAGTGGCAAGTATCCATTTTTTAAGGAATCTTTGCTATCTTAGATTCGGTTGTTTGAAAGTTTTTAAATATTATGCAAGATAGATGTTTTACACTTTTTTAATTGTTACGAATCTGTTGGTTCATTCTAAAGGTAGTATGAGAACATTAGTTTATTAATTTATCTTTCAATTCTTTCACTTAAATCTTTGTTATTTAATTAAATGAAATGCTTCTCACTTGAATAATTAGGATTTGCTGCAGAATTTTACGGTTCATTTTCTGTCTTGCTCAGCTCCTATCTTTGTGATGTTACTCTGATGTCTGAGGATGGGAAAGAGTTTCCATGTCACAAGTGTGTGTTATCTGCACGGCTAGGTAAATGGACATTTTATATTGATCAATATGGAAAAGCCTTTCATCTGTGTACATTATGGTACTTTTAGTGTGGTATTTTGTATTTGATAACATTTGTTGTAAATACATTGGTATTTCTCTTGCAGATTATTTCCGCAGCATGTTAGGCAGCTCCTGGATTGAGGTAAGGCCATGGATTTTAAAGGTTATTTTTTTTTATGGACGGAGTTTAACCCCACTATTGTCTGTTTGCATGTTAATTGAAACATTTTATTAAATTCCTCACTTCTTCTGATGTCTGAGAAATATTTATCGGTGTTTCATTTGAGGAATTTCAGATGGAGTAATTGATCAGTTAACAGACATTGGATTGTTTTTACGCCAGTGTCGCCTGTTTAGAGCTTATGTATTGCAGAGTATTATGAAAGGAAATCCCAGCAGATCAGAGGCGGCTATGGTTCTCTCCAATTGCTACATGGAATTATTTGTGTCTCTTTTGTTCTTCTACTGTATTCAATAACATCCTCATATACAAGATAATGCTCAACTGACCTGGCAGTATTTCTCACTATCCCTGGTCTGTTCTCTGACCAACACAGGGCACTTCCTGTGCTGCTCTGGACATGCCTATCCAGTCGGATATCCTGCAGGTCATCATTGACTACATCTACACAGATGAATCAGCAACAGTGAAAGGTACAGTTGTTAATATATAGAATCATTCTAGGTAACTTTGTAGATCTAAACTGCTATATTTATCTTAAAGTACTGTATGTCCTTCAAGTGTCTTGGCAGTTAGATGTCAGTGGAATTGCAGCTTTCAGCGTAAGATAATTCTAGTAATTTATGGAGTGTAATTAACTACTGACTGCCGTTAGTAGTAACATCGCAACCGGTGTTAAACTGAAATAGCAGTTTACTGTTATGTTGATGGCACATTTTTTGCAGCCTAATTGTGTAAAAGAAAACTGCAGGAATGTTAATCGTGGTAAAGTTTGTTATTTTTTAACTTAGTCGTTTCAGCTTTGTATTTTTCTTTTTATGATCCTATTGCTCAGAGGCATTCCTGAGTGTCTTAACTAAGGAAGGCACTTGCTTGCTACCTTTGTGTGGGTCTGAGTCAACCTGGCTATCCTTGGATTGCTTTACATCGACAACTTCTGTGACTTGCTGTGGCAGCTGTGTGCTGTCAGTGTTGTCTGCGAGAGCTGGTCAGCGTTAATTCTCCTGTAACAAGCTTTGGAGCTTGGCACATTTCTCTTGGCACAGGAGTAGCACATGCACAATGCTGACCTCCTCCTTGCCGGTACGAGGGCTGCAGTTGTAAGCCAAGGTGATTACAGTTAGGCATTGCAACTTGGGAGGAAGTAAAATTGGCAATTCCAAATAAAAAATGTTTGTGAAATTTAGGGATCTGTATCCTATCCATCTATGGAGCCATTCTAATAACATAACTAAGAACATAGGTCTGTGTCACACAGAAGCTCCCTGTTATGGAAACTCCAGAGGCTGGAGAGAATGTTGTGGGCTTCAGGATTTGAAACTTCCTAATTCTGTATTGTGTGGTTTGGATGCAGGCTCTTATTGGATATGTGGTAAAAATGTACTTATTGTCTAAAAACAGTAAGTTACCTTTGCTGCGTCAATACCGTTTCTTTATTTTCCCTAATGACACGTAATGAAAAAGCAAAACATTACTAAGAAGGTTTGCTTTAGTCAGTGACTCAGATTTACCTATTGCTGCATATAGATATCTGTGCAATTCTGGATTAAGTAAGATGCAGAGGATGGACACTTGGTGGAGACAGCCAACCAGCAACATAACCAACAACATAGCACAGTACCCCTACAAATTCTTAACATTTTTCCTGTTTGCAGTTGGTTGTTCATATTTGACTCGCATATTTACTTAAACTGAAGCTTTGATAATCCAAGTGTGTGGCTTTGATGACATTGATGCACAAATTTATGTTTTAGTGTATTAATGAGCAGTCATATTAGGAATCTTAGGAAGGCCTTACAAAATTATAAAAGACCTTATGAAAGAAATCTTCAGTATTTTTAGATTTTGATCGTTATTGCTGCTTACTGTCTAAAGTTGCTGTTTCACTGAATGTTTTTGAAGTCTAAAAATGTGAGCAGTTTCAAAATTTGTCAAGCACATGCATTTACTTTCTTTCAAAAATTTTTGCTTTCCTTTAAATTCAAGTTGTAATGTTCAGCAAAATGCAGTATTGCACATTTCCACAACTGAGAACATAAGGCAAATGATACTCCAGAGGGAGCTATTTGGCCTATCTGTTTAATGTAGTTGTCATTGTTCATATTCTGAAATGTTTTTAAATTTATATTGGTTTTGTTTCCACTGCACCGTTAACCACGCTAGTCTTCAAGATCCAAAGTAGTGTTTCTTTGAGGTTGCTATTTATCTTATGTTACTCACCGCAACTGGAGAATTCCAACTGCAGGCATTACCATGGCCTCATAACTCAGAATTAAGACATTTTTGTGGCAGCTAGTAGAGAAATTAAACAGCACCCTCAAGAGCAGTCCCGTGCTGCACCAAATGCAAAATGACATTTTGAATGTTACTGCAGTAGTCCTAATGTAACACAAGATTGTCCTGATTAACAAACGCTGTTTTTTTTTTTTAATTATGGCTACTTGTACGTTGACTTATCTTTGTCTTCCTTATGGGATAAAATCTGTAAAATAACTGGGGAAATGTAGTACCTTAGGTAAATAATAATATTCTCTTTACCAATTCTAGAATCCCTTAATGTGGAGTTCCTGTGCAATGTGCTTGTCGTGGCAGACCAGCTCCTCATCACCCGTTTGAAGGAGATGTGTGAAGTTGCAATTACTGAGAAATGTTAGTAATCTTTATTTTTAATTGATTCTACATTTTTATGCTTGCTTCTAAGATTGCCTTATCATTTTTTTAAGTTAGAACACTGTAATGTTGAAAGATGTATGTGTGGATTGTTTATTCCTCTAATGGTCTGAAAGGACATCTGTAGAAATTGCTTATAAATAACAAAGATATCAACAAGGATCTTTTTCCTTAATTGTCTTTTTTTTTTTCTTTGTAGATTAGGAATTCAGATACGACAACACACTGGCAATATGCTTATCAGTATGAATGTTTTATTTATTGACCAGTTAGTTTTCAGTGATCGGTTTCTTTTTTCCTTTCCAGTAACACTAAAGAATGCTGCAGATCTTCTTGAGTTTGCTGCAATGTACAACGCGGATCAGTTGAAACTGTCTTGCTTGCAATTCATAGTGTTGAACATGGCAGCATTATTGGAATCAAGGTGACAAAACCTAACTATTTTTGTTGCTTATGTCTTATGTTACGCTTATTGTTTTACTAAATCTATTCTTTTTAATGTTCCTAGAGCCCTTGATGTCCTTAGTGATGAGGTTTTGGTGGAGCTGTCTGTGGCCTATAGGAAGTTGGTATGCTGGAGTCTCATGGACTGTTTACATTGGATTATTGGTTATTGATTGAAAATAGTTTGTAAGAATTGATTAATCTTCTATATGAAATGCCTAATTCAAACACCCTATCACATTTATAATATTCAGCAGAAATTACTTAGGTTCCTATTAAGTCCACATGTCAATTTACACAAAACCTAAATAAACCTATTACTGTCTGTGCAGGCAGGTTTCCACATAAAAATAACATTATTTCTGATTTTGCAGCTGTTTGTGTTAGCAGTGGTATTCCCTCAAATGTGGTGATTATCATGTTAGTGTTTATTACATGCTTTTTCTTTGTATAGAATGTTAGCAGCATATGCATGTACATAAATTCATTTTACACTTTAAAGGACAACTTCAATGTTTAATATTGCAAAATGCAGATTCCTGCCATGCAGAGGAGAGTGATCACTCCTTACCCTGATGGGCCAGACCTTAGCTCCTTTGAGACAGATGACTGGGAAACCTTGTTGTGCAGTAAACAAGACACGGATATGGATCAAGCATCCAGGTATGAGACTATGGAAACTAAAATTTACTTTTGAGTCACTGGCAGCTGATTTGTATTAGTCATCCTGGTGGGAGCTATGATCCTGTAAATTTCTAAGGATGTTTGTTTTTAGACTTTGGGACAATCGTTGTGATGATTTTTTATTCTCTTTTTTTGGAAGTGCTGGTGTTCAGAGACTGGGCAGCCTGGAAACTGTATACTAGAAACATGTACTGGGATGGAGAAGTTATTAAGTTGTTGACAAAAAAATTTGGATATTTTGTCTTTAAACCTATTGATTTGAACCTATGTGAAAAACCAAAGCTTTGTAAAGCTTGAACACAAAAAAGTTCTACTTTACTTTTTGTGCCTGTCATGGGTCATCGGCTATTTTGGGAAAGGTGGTTTAAGTTGCATAGCTTCTCCTGCTCAAAAACTTAAGTCCAATCTGTCTAGATACAGTGCCATTCAATACCAACTAGATGTGAATGGGTGAAAACAGGGTATGTGCATGAAACAAGATGGCTGCTATGTCTTTTTCTTTGTTGTTATATGTGGCCCTGTAGCTGACCCCTGTGTTTTTTTTTTTCTGGACAGAGGAAGACGAGCTCACTTTTGTTTTTCGTTAAGTCCCCGAGGCCATTCCGCTGCTTTGCTTTCTGTGGCACGGCAGGTTTATGTTTCCTCAGTCAGAACTCGGTGGAGCTCTTTCAAGTTGGCAGGGCTTCACCCTCCTTTGTCCTTCTTCTTGGAGCCTGTGAGGCCTCACGAGGAGCACTTCTCAAGAGCATTAAGGGAATTAACTATTTTCTTTAGCTCTGACCTCCTGGTTGCTCTTAAGTGTTGAAGTTGTTGTATACGTAGAGAGGAATATGGAACCCATCAGTGCGTTTAATTGAGATTCCTGTTGCAGTGGTCTTTTTGTTCACACTCTTTTGGAAGCCCAGTTATGGATTATGAGAGGTTGGGTTGAGGTTAGGGTTAGGTTTCTTGTAGATTCTGTTTCTATGTTGCTATGCTTGTTTCTCTCAATGTCTCTCCCCAGTAGATAGTAACAGATAGATTCAGTGGTCCACTAGACCACCTGGCATTCTTTCTACTGGACCTAATTGCATTCTTAGGACAGTATTTTTGGTCAAAAGAAAGAAGTAGTTTTTGAAGTCCAATGCCAAAAGTGATCTTATCTCACCTTAGCCCTTCTCATGACTGACTACTTTTCTACTTTGGGGCTTAGGACTAGTTTAGGTAATAGGGTGCGGGTTTACTTCCTATCTATATTGAAGCTTGTACCTCATGATGCAGTGGCTCTTGTTATGCTACTGGGTCTTCACTATGCTAATGATTTATAGGTTTGATATTTCTGTATACTGCATTTAATCTTGAGACCCATGAAACCTAATATAGCCCTCAGAGCTCACAAGCAATTTGCAGCAAATTTGGAAATGCCCAAAGTTTAGAGTTTAATGGGGTAGGTGGTTTGGTCACATGGTTTCACTGTCATATTGGATTAGTTGGGGAAAAAAGTCAGTTTTCTTTGAATGAGTTTGGCTGATTGAAATTGAACTTGGTGTATTATCATTCGTTGGTTGGTGAAGGATGATAGGTTTTCGTGAAACTTTCCAAAAGCAACTGATGAGACCCATATAGTTTTCTCACACTATCTTGCTGAACAAGTGTTGGCCAGATATCTCCAAAGACGTGAACAACTTCCTATAGCACAATTTATTTCCATATTCTGACACCTGTGGGTCTCAAATTTATGGGTGTCCTTCCATCTTGTGTGGTTAAAGACCCAGGAGTTGATTTTGATTCTGCATTTATTCCTTTGCTTTACTACTGTATATCTTCTTCTGTCCTCCTCTGGTGCAATTGCCATTGGCAAAGATGGGAGAAGAGAACCTTCTTTGGGAGTCTGGCATCTGACTTCAGGGTGATTTAACCAAATCAGAGCAGCTGATGGCATTATGGGATGATAACTGCACTTCTTACAGTTGCTGCTTGGGCAAGAACACTGGTCCTTTTAAGTGTCTCTTCTGTGTTATACGTATTACCCTGTACAGTAAAATAGGAATGATGGCAGAACTGTGGACCATAAATGTGGTTTCAGTTTGAACGTTGCCATCTTAAAAATACCCATTTACTCCTCCTCCACAGTGGAGTGTGTGTTTGCTGATGTTGTGATATTAGTAGAATGTAGTCCATGGGATTTAAAATCTAAAACTAAATAAAGCCCATTCTTCACATGATTTTGGTGATAGAAGACCTATAACCTTCTTATCAAATTTAAAATAAGATACTGCGTTCTTTATGACTGCAGATATGATCATGCCAACACGTGGATCAACAGAAATATAACCCCCAAGTATGTGCTGTTGCAACAAATGAACTGTGACTTCTTTCCTTTCCTCGAGGTCAAAAGCAAAATATTCCTCTAACTCGCCATAGAGCACAGACAGGGGTATGATTTTAATGGAACACACATGGGGAACCTTGTGTACTTTATAACAAAATACAAGTGTGACCTTTGAACTCTCTTAAAAGTCAGATTGCATAAATGTGTTAACAAGGAAAGGATATGTTGGCATGGCCACTAATGATTCTTTTAGCAGTAATGTTATCATTAGTACTACTGTAGTTTTGTTAAATTTCACTGTCGTTGGCATCTGAAACATTCAGAACATAATAAGCTTTTAATCAGAATTAAAGACTTGATAATTTGTTCTAAAGATGGGTTCTGTTTAAGACATACAAAATTGCCACCCTTGTATTTTTTTCCCATCTTTTTACGGTTAGTTCATTTTTTTTTTCCCATTTCAGAGAAACCCTGTTAAAGAAAGTCAAAATGAAGGCCAAGAAGAAGCCAAGAAAACGATCTGACAGCTCTGGAGGTTATAACCTGTCTGACATCATTCAGAGCCCACCTTGTGCAGGTTAAGCCATAGCACTTCATCTTTAAGCAAGTGGAAAGTTGTGCTGAAATGTGACTAGGCAAGAAGCATTGTCAACAGTTTTTGATCTACATGTACTGTATTCAATATTATATTTGAAGTGGTACATAGGACATGTTTTTCTGAAGTTTTATTACATGCTTTTCTCCTGGGAATACCCTTATCCCTTTCTAACAATCACAGCATGGAGAATTCTCACAGCATTCTCTACCACTCTTTTGCTCTAGGACAAGATAAGGATTGAATGGGCAAAATAGGCAGGAATATAGAGCTGAAGTTGTGTAACATAATGCCTTCAGTGTTTGAAGCTGTTGCTGCTTGTCGGGGGCTTTTTGATAAGCATGCTTTCAGTGCTCTAATCTTGATAAAATGGAAATTGTCTCTGTTTTAAAAAAGAAATATTAAGACATCTTAATTTTAATCAGTAATTTAGTGATTGATTGATTCTTCCATTCCCAGCTAGTTGCATTTCAGTACAATATTCTGATGATCCAATATAATATTGACATAGTGTATGCCAATAAGAGAAAAAATCTAAAGTGTTGTTTATTACATCCAGGTACAGAACCAACAAACTAACAAAAAGCTTTAAAATAGCGTTCAGGTAGTTAAAAAGATCAGTTTGAAAGTCTTATTTTCACTTGATGCTGACTTGAGGCTATGGTTTAGTGTGTATATATATAAGGTCAACACTGGTAAAATGTGTGAACTCTGAGATTAAGTTAAAGCTAATTGTCAAATGATGCTTAATGTACACTTAAAGCTATTAAGTAGGAACTTTTTGGTATGTGCAGTGCATTCTGATGAGACAAAATAGAATGCTCGCTGCTGTATTCTGTATAAACACAAGGCATGTTACAGCTTGATTTTCAAGACCAGTAAACTGAGCATTCAAACCCTGAGGAAAGGAATGCTTTGAAAGCTTCTCTGAATCAATAGTAAGAGAAATGGTACCTTTTTCTCAGATGGTAAACTAAAATGTTCACAACGTTGCAGATACTGTATTAACTGCAGATGTTCTCATAGTTCCTAGTAGTACATATAGAATATCAATGTAAAATGTAGGTGGTGTATTTGTAATCTAAATTATTTTGGGTCCATCATGATGGAATGTTTTGGAAAAAAAAAACGTTTTTTTTCTCTTTTAGGTTTAGGGAAGACTGATAAGACAAATTCCATTGAGTCACTTCAGGAGCTCCTGACGTCAGACTCGGAGGGTAGCTATGGAGCTGGCAGTCCAAGAGATCTGCAATCACCTGTGTTCATGCTGGGACTTGGTCATGATAAATCTGAGGTCTGCCATTACACATTTTCAGATGACATATACAGTATATATATCACAGTTTATAAAGTAAATTAAAGCTGCAAGTAATATTGCAAGTTCAGTTTTCTTTGTCTTTGATTAAAGGCATATTTTTGAAGTATTAATTTTACACGTGGCCATGTGCTTTTCTACATTTTAAGAATAATTCTGAGGATCCTGGATCATTCACATTTCCCCCATCAAGGAACGTGCCTGTTTATCTTTGTGATCTTGGCTACCATCTTGTTTGGGAAGGTTTATTTAAAACCTAATTGCAGTTTACATGCAAAGCTTGTGTGTCAGTATTTTGAAATGTGAGGTGTGGTGAGGACAACATGCATTTATTCAGATGGAAGCTGATTTTTCTTATTACAACACAGTGTAGACCTTAATAAAAAAATAAACCATAAAGAGGCTTTCTGAAGCTGAAAGAAAATGTTTTGAATTGTTAGTTGTGAAATTAGTTTTTTTGCTTTTACATAATGATATGCATCCAGTTAAGGGGCCATGCATCAAAGGTGGAGGAGAAGGAGGTGTAGAATACATCAACATCTTCATGGGTGCAGAAATTCCTCATGGAGTTGGTGTTCTGAGGACTTTTCATGACTCGGTGAACAACCTTGTTTAATGACTTGGTAATAAAGGTCCAGTGCAAAGAAGTCTCAGGAACTATAAATGGGGGATAAGCTTTTTTTGTGCTTTTGGGATGGGATGAGATAACTGTGTGAATCACTGGACATGCAATACCGGAAGTGTCCGAAATGTGCTGTAACGGGTAAATCGGGTTGCAGCACAAATGCATAAACACATTGTTTATAGAGTTCAGGTATAAAGCCCTTACAGAAGGAGAAGAAGCAGGGTATTGCGTTATATTTTGGTGGTATAGTGTTTGTTTTATGAAATTTCATGTCCTGTACAGTAGTTCCATGACATGTGGTGTGGCTCCATTATACAAGTATTCAGAAGTGTCTCACAGTTTTCAAAAGTCTCCTTCATAAGTAATGGAAAAAATTCACATTTGAAACATGTTATACCATGTTACCTTATGTCCAACATTCAGATTTACTTCAGGACAGGTGGATTGGAGACGTGGTGTGGCTGTCATACTGGATTTATAGAAAATATTTAAACTATGTTTCTCTTTATGTGCTCGACCTATTGGGGGGAAAAAATGTTGACTTGGACAGGTTACTCCCAATATTGTTTCAAACGAGTTTATACATTGCAAATCACAGCCACACAATTTCAGGCGTGCTTGATATGCATAGAGTATATTTGCTTTTGTTGCAGAATGTGTCTAGAGTGAAATGTTGCTGGGTCATGTAGAATCACAGGAAAATAGTACCCCATGGGAATTACAGTCCATAACTAACTACAGCCTCTGACTTTTCCATACAGTCAAATGGAAACTTATCTTGTAACTTCATAATTGAAGGGTCATGGTTAGTTATGGAACACAATTATGAACTGTGTGTGCTCTAGCAAAACAGTGATCTTGCCCATGACCTCTGACATGATCTCAAATCACATGCAAATTAATTTGGAATTTTTTGCAGAGATCTTATAGATCACGTATAGTATAGGAACACATTTATAACCTGGCTAACTATAAACTTCTTTCAACTTGTAATGTCTCCTTAAGGCGAAATGCAAAATGGCTTTATTGATCATTAGGTATTGTAGATACTGTAGGACCATTCTGATGGGAAACCAAGTAAGCTTTTATCATATTACTGTATGTCCATGAATACCCATTAACATCAAAATCAATATATATTCTTTTCCACCTTTAATTTCTGATTCTGCCTAGGTTTCAGTTTAGAAACAGATGAACATTTTTGTTAGTTTTTCTCTTGACAGGTCTGTTATTGTTTTATGCCATTTTGTCCACAATAGCAACACCTAACTCCAATCTCTAAATTCACAAACGTGATCATTAGGTCTGCAGATTCATAAACTTAGATTAGTCACAGTACACTATTAAAGGCAGTTACGGTATCTACAGTAGCTCTGAAAATATTAAGAATATTAAGATGCAGTGTATTGCAATAAAACAGAATCTAACATCTGTAGATTATAATTTTTACAAAATACCTTCCACTTAGGTTCCAAGTTGCAGATTCTGCAGTATATAGACAGTATGTATTTCTTTATATGCAGTCTACACAAGCTGTTGAGAGCTATGAACTAGTCTTTTCTAGTTTGAGCGAGTAACGCTCTGTGGATCTTGCAATGAATCAGATCATCTGATTGATGATGTGAGCACAGTACATCAGTGGAGCACATTCTACAATCTGTCTGTCTACTAAGTAGTACTGGAGTTTTTGCATAAGAGCTGAATGCTATAAACAATTCGCAAATTGCGTAGACCTGTAATTATAAGAAATGTTATGTTAATATTTAAAATATAATTTTTATCATTCAAAATTCATTTTTATGTTCATGCAAAAATATTGTATCATTACAGATTTGTTTTTGCTGACATCTTATTTGTGGTCTGCATTTTAATTATTTTCTTTCCTCAGATGGAAGAGAAATCTCAAATATTGAGAACAAAAAGTCCACCACCAATTCCAGAAGTGAAAAATGAGAAACCTTCTCTTTCTAAGACATCTACTCCACGGCCTATCCCAAGACCAATATCTAGGTATGTGCGTAGCAAAGTGCGTCATGTTTTTTTTTCTCTCCAATATGAAAAAAAAAACACCAGTTACCATCATCCTGGTACCTTCTGTTGCTGAGACTTCTTCATTCAGTGTTTTTGGCACAGTGCATGAAGTATGTTCAATGTTGATAACCTCAGTGTTCTGTGTTGCTCCCACATGCAAATGCATGCACATGTTTTGTACCAGTCTCCTTGCAATCCTTATTGCAAGGAGACTTTTAACCCTTATATGGTTCTTTTGACTCCTTAGTCAACTGAAAATCCCCCCACAGCAACAGTATGCATGCTAAATTCTGCTTTTAAATACACTAGCTGTTTAGAATTAATGCAAATGACAAACACAGATACTGTACTCTGACTTGAAACAACAGTATATTTGGGTTATATTTTTTCTGTGTTCTGTTTCATATTTGAAATGTAAAATAATTTTCTCTGCTGCAAACTGAAGACTGTATTTTTTAGATCTGAAGGTCATTTAGTGTATCGTGAATTAGTTCTAAGTACTGTAAATCTGTATATTAAAATGAAAATTGACACTTCTCACAATGAATGAGAAAGCACAATGAAAAATCATTCTGCATAGAATAGTTATATTATCCTGAGTAATATTTTTATTTTTTGGGGTTTAACGGTTAATGTACATGTTATATTTACAATAGAATAACCAACAAAGTGTAACTTAAAGATGATTTAACATGAAAATCCAGGTGTATATCAAGGTGGTTGAAATAAATCAAACTATAGGACTTTCAATATTGTGTGTGGAAACACAATGTGCATCACGAACTGTTACATATATATTTGAATGTGACATCCAGGTTTATTTGTATATCAGAATCATTGCTTTGTGAAACATTTTTGGCTTTAATAATCTGAAGCAGACTCCAGCCTCTCCAGTTGCGTGACTTTTGCTTGGGATTTGCATTCTTCAGGTCTTACTGTACATGTTCTACTTTAGACTGGTGATGAGTCAGGATCATTCATTTCAGTTCTTAACCCTTTGGTCTCTGGATTTGATGCATGCAGTGTGTTGTTATTATATTGTAAAGTCAAAATTCATCAACAGTCTTGAGCTTTATGTCAGAAGCTTTGACCTTTTCATCCATGTGTTCCTGATCACAGGACCAAGGATGTGGACCCTTCAGAACTTTACAAAATGAGTGGCATTCTTTTCCAACATGGGTGTTACCTGTCTTTGTTTATCATATGCTTGATTATCACTGCTCAAAATCCACCCATATCATATGGTCTGGTTTGACCTGGGAGTCACTTAGTTGCTGTTTGTTAAACTATTTGTTTTGTTACATTGCCACAGTAGAGTATTACACAGGCTCCAGAGTTGCGAGCTCATCCTTAAATGGAGGATGATACCAGAGTTTCCCTAAGGTGTGGGTCATCCTCCTGAACCATACTTTCCTGACTGAAAATTAATATAACATCTCTTAAGTCCTCTTTCTGCTGGGGTAACAACTATCACATTAGCTTTGAGCTTCTTGATGACTGACACCCCATTTAAAAGAGTTTTGCTATGGATGTTTTAATGGTCTTTATAGCTCAACCTGATGCAACCTTAAATCTTCAGACAATTACCCTGACTTTCCCCCTGATAATGTTCTGGTTTGCTTCTGTGTTCAACCTCTTTTGATACCTTGTCATAAGACAGATGTTTTCCAAAAGCTTGTTTGTACCTTGTTTTTCTTTAGCCCGGCCAGCCCTCCTGTTCTGGACCTCAGAGCCATCATGGAAATGGAAGAAAATATACAAAACCGTGGGGCCACTCCCAAAAGTCCTTCAGCGTAAGTCACCAGCGTGAAGACTTGTTGTATCTCAAATCTTTTTTTTGGGGGTGGGGGGTCAGTGGGTTTATGAATTGATAGTAGGTCATATTTGCTGATGTGAACTTTGGCTACAGATTTCATCTGCATCATCTTGAGCTCAGAGAAACAGCTGTAGAACAGGTTGGGCTAGGAACAGAAGGACAGAATGGAAAGGGAGTACTGTATTCCTCAGCTTCTGGATTATTTGAACGTAACTGCTCAGTGTAGTAAGTGAGTCTGTCTTTTAATTAACTTAGTCTCGAAGCCTGCTCCGCTTTTATTCTGTCAAAGAAAAAAAAAGTAATCCTTCCTTTGTCATAAAGTTGCTGTTTTTGGAAAGGGTCTTGACAATCCCAAGCCCTGAGATTTTTTCAGGTCTGTTTAATTTCTCCTATAAGCACATCATGCCAGATAAAGGTAATCAAATAACCACCACAGAGTTTATACAGGACTGCTTTTAAGCTTCCATGCAGAGTACTAATAGATGTATTGTATAAAAATTAGATTTTATCTTTTATGTTTGAGAAATTGTTCCACTTAAAGAAAGACTGGGTAAAGTTCGGTATTTAATTTAGTGTTCTATTTAGACATTGTGGATTGCTTTTTTAGCATAATTTCCAATAGTCATGCAGTTAATAATGACTTGGTGAAAAGACTCATGAATCCCCTGAAAACATGACATTCCCATTCTCCAGTCTTTGATAATCATTACTTGCTCACGGGTAATTCTGCTTTTTCTTCTTCACATTGAGTGATCAAGGGATTTCCATTCCATCTGTTATTTTGAATGAGGCCAGTATGCTTGTTCCAGGACTTGCTTTCACTATGAGCTCCCCTTTTATATTTACATCCTCATTCCCCTGAGAAGCAAGGTTACCTATGCACTGGGTATATCTGTTGGACTTCAGATCAACAAAAAAGTGGATCGGCTCCCTCCCTATATAATATTGTTCTGTTTCAAGTTTTCATACATGTGTGGCTGCTCTTACTATTTGTAATTGTAACAGGATATTAACAGACTCTGCCTTCTAACCAGGATGGTCCCAAGGGTCTGCAGGCACATCAGGCTCATGATATCAGAAAATGTAAAATCCAAGAAGCTTTATTGTAACCCCCTTTTAGGGTAAACAACGACGAACAGCAGTCAAAAGTTCCATATGCCCCTATCACCATGCAACCCCATTTATATACCAACCACAAAGCCTTCACCAGTTGTGCAGTTAAGTAATTCACCCCCAGCTTGGCTATTTACAGGACTTAGTCTAGTGACAGGTCATCTGTAATTGCAGTCCTTTTTTCAGCTGGCTTAGTAAACAGGGAATTGAAATTTCCTGGGTCAGCATCCATCCATTATCAAAATGTTGCATATTCCAAGTGGATGGGAAAATATACATTTTGCTACCACAACAATCACTTTGAAGTATTCATTTATTTGTTCTACACAGATTGCTTGCCACTTTATAGATACAATCATATTCCCTGCGTATGGTGTTTGCAGTGGGCGTTGTAGGTACGTTAATACATATTTTGGGAGGGTTCAGGTGTGGTTCAGTTTTTGAACAAGAATTGTGGATAGGAAAGTAAGAACCTAAACAGAGAATATTCCTTGCTTTTGCCTAGCACTAAAAGAGGATTCTTGGGCTTTCACAGATACTGACCTGGTTGGCTTCTCACAGCAGTTTAAAAGATATTGGTGCTGCATTGGAGGCCTCTGTGTTCCGTTCCCTGGCATCCCTGAATCCTGTCCCATCTCCCCGTTAGTTCATGCTTCATTTTGCTTTAACTAATTAATTAGTAAGGAATATATTTTTCCAATCTCTCTATTTCCATCTGTTTTATAACATTGGAACAATGCAGTATTAACATGCAAACTCAAAATCGACATGAACAAAAGTACTTATTTTATGATTGATTAAGATTGATTGGTTTATAAGCACAAATGAGTCAGAAATGTCAATGCAGAATGGCAATACAACCTGCAATAAAGACAGCCAAACTGCTTTGCATTTCTAGCTATTTTTACACTTGATTTACAGGAGCATCACTAAACTGCCAGCACATGCGATGAAACTTTCCCAAAAGCAACGAAAAATGATGGCCATGACTGCTAGGGAAGGCAGTATGGAGCACACCACCGTGAAAGTGTCTCCATCATCTGTTCCTACAAAGACTGGAGCTGCGTGGTAAGTTCAAGCCATTTGCATGGTGTGTTTCATGACATTAGGATGTTACTTGCTATGATTGTATGTTGCAATATGCAATGTCATATTTTCAGAGGACTAGTTGGGAAAATATATGTCAGATTATTTTCAGCAACATGGAATACAGATGTAATTACCGAGTCATTAGATGGTGTTGATTTCCTGGTAATAATGGTGTAGTGTGAACATTTAGGAGTGCAAGCAGTAAAAATCCATAATTGAAAAAATAATTATGTAAATTATGCAAAGGAAGGATATATAATATTACACGTGCTACTCAATTGCTTATAGCTTTTGTGTCAAAATAGTTAAGTAATAGTATAAGAACATGCTACAGTGTCATTGTCAGGAAACCTATTTTAAATGTCTGTGCCATATATACTGTATATATAGACCAGTTCATACTGCACCATTAAGAATGCTGAATAAATTATTTGAGCAGATCATGATCGGTTGATCAATTTTCAAACTGTGCAAAATAGACAAACCTTCCTGTATTGCAAGAGTTCATCGAGAGTTCTGTCAGTAGAGTGTATTTTAGTAAGAAGGGAATACTCAAATGCATGTCTAATGAATATAGGCCCAGATCTACACATTAAGTTTTTACTGTGACTTTGCACTACATTCTACTTTACAAAAAATGAATTGTAAATATAGGCCAGAGTATGTTGTATTTTCTGTATGTATTCAAAGTAAATTATAAAATGGGGGTTTTGTGCTATTTAATCTGATCTCTCATTAACAAGCAATAAAGTCTGACCTTTCAGACTAGATAACAAATAGACCACAATTCTCAATTTTGCTTGATGGCATCCTTTGAAAGGGAATGTGAACTGACCACACCTATTCTGTTATCTTTTATAAAGATGCAAATTGGTTACAGAGCCAGCCCGCTTAATTTTAATGTGTACACAAGCTGTTATGAAAGGGCTGAATAATTTTATATGAAATACCAGTCTTCATTGGTACAAAACAGTGAATTTCTGTTTGGATCTATTCCAGATTTTCTTTAGATGCTACCGTTTGGGCGTTATCTTTTAGATGTTTATCTGACCTGAAGCATTTCCTATGTGCAAAAACAGCAGACATGGAAACTGATCTTTGGTTGTTGATGTTAGTAGAATGGTTCAGTCCCATAAGTGTATAATAAAGTGCCCTCCAAATGTATTCAAATTGCTGATAGAATAGGAAAAGTAACAATAAAATAAAAAGATTTATAGATTGCATAATGTCTTTCTTTAAACATTCTAAAAATGTTAGACAGTTATTTTAATAGAATTGCACAAAGCATGCTCGTATTTTCATTATTTAAGTCCAGGAAACACCGGAGGCCTTCTCCAGAGGCTGTGGAGCCTCGACACTCAATGAAGGCTCCACAGCTGAAACGTTGTTTCTTCTTTTCTCTTTTCCTCATGGAATAAACCTTTTCTTGTTCTAAAATGTTAAATAAACTGTTTTGATTTATATCCAGTAGTAAAGGTCATGAATGTGATCAATATTGTTTTTTTTTTTTACAAAAGAAGAATTTGAACTCAAGTTATTTTATTAATTATCCTTTTAAGGACAAAAGTACTTTACATCTAGGTACTATGTTAAGAAATGTCAGGTCCATTGTACATTTGCAGCATGTTATTTGATTAGATGGAAAGAGCATCTGTATTTTCTGCACAAATTCTGTCACCCTTTAAAACAGTTTTGCCTGTGGTAGTTCTATGGCGTTGGGTTGTTTTGAAATTATTGAAACACATTCTACAGTATCAAAGTAAATTGCATTCCTTAGATTTAAATCTCTTAGGGATTAAAAAAAAAATGTTTTTATTGGGTTGAGCCATCAATAGCGGCAAGCTATCTTAAAGTTACTGAGCTGTGCCTGGGGGGGTCTAGTGCTGTTCCATGTGGAGAGCCCTGAACACCTCTTTGCCCTGGAGGGAGATGACGCTACAGTATTTCACACTTTTCCCATGGCTGCCTTATTATTGGCCTGGCCTAGATGTGCTTGTATAATGCGAGCTTAATCCTGCTACCGAGAACTTGGAAAATCTGTCACAACGAAGGTGTTTTACGTAACCCTGACAAATGTGAAGATTAGTTATGCTGCCCCTGGGTAATACTCATCATGAAGAAACAGTGAAGGGGGCAGATAATTGTGTCTGCAGCTGTTCTTTGCACAACCATGTCAATAATCTGAACACAGTGTGTAACTGCTGGGCCCCATTCTAATAAAGGGTAGTAAAGTGGGTTCCTTTTCTCTGCAGTCTTTTACACCAACCAATAAACATTTTCCTTGTTGCTGTAGGAAGTAATTTGAAAATACCTGTACATACTTTCTTGAAGTATAAAGGTAAAACTATGATGCAATTAAAACCTACAGCGCATGTCTGTTATTCCTGTAGATACAGTTCTGTTCAAGTCACATGTCATTTTAAAATGTATTTTGTTTTGGGATTTTGTCTGCATTTTCTGCTGCTACTGTGTGCGGTACATCCCAATGTTGTGTTCAATACGGATCTGACAAGACAGAAATTAATACAAACTAGGAATATATTTAAGCTGTCCTAGAAAAAAGGCACTAGATCCCTCCGGTAGCTTTTTGTGAAATTGTTTCATTGCACTGCAGTTGTGCAAACTGTGAAGTATTTAGTACTGAAATAGCCGATGTTTGTTTTCTTTCATATTAGGGCAACTCCACTGCACACTACACCTTCCTACACTTCTTTCCGTGATCTCCTGATGGAAGAGGAGAAGAGTGTAAAAGCTGCATGTGCTTCATCTTCAGTTATAAAGAGGGTGTCTTTTAAGGCCAGTGAGCAGGATGAACATGAGAAGCTATCAGGGTAAGCACAGAGCAGAAGTGTTGCAAAACCCATGAACTGTGGTTAAGGCCTTTTCTGCATCTCTTTCTTAGTCATGCTCCTTCTGCCTAATTTAAGTGTGGGCTCCTTCAGTGGTGTCCGTTCAAATGTCAAGTATGTTACTATGCTTGAAGAATGTGGCACCCACAAAAAAGAGTATTTGACCACAATTTATATTTACTACATTTTTGCTGGTGTGACTTTCAGAGTTTGCAACAAAAATGTTTAGACATCTTGTTAAAGGCAGGGATAGAAATAAAACTCCATCCGCTCCATTGTGGCTCTTGTGTGCAACCCCAAATCTCATGCTGTATATTTCATGTTACCTTATTTGTTCCTCATCAAATGGAGGAGTTAGATTGAATAAGCTACTTGAGTAAATTTCATATTTATTCTTAAGTTTAACTTGTACATTTTTACTTTTTGACACTAATTTGGATAATTTACATATATGCGGGTAAGGGCATAAGTGTCTATGCAAAATGCGCCAAACAGATTGTTATTAACAACACATTTGAGGTGCGAGGAGACCTTTTTCTGCCTTTTTTTCCAAATGGATACAGCAGTGGTTTTAATGCACATCTTCTAACACTTTTTCAATTTTGTTTTCAAAATCGGCATGATTTGCAGGTTCTGCTGTAAATTGCTCCCTTTGACTGCTTGTGTGTGATCACCATGTCTTTATATAAAATAGAGGTTGCACAAATAACATTATCATGAGGTTCTATTTTCGTCTTTCTTTTTACTGACCTTTCACACAAGGAGTGGGATTGACCATTTTTTTTTATTTTTACCCTGAATTTGATGTTAAAGATCCAGTAATATAAATCTTCTTCCTAGAAGGCAAGCTGTTAATATTGCTGGCCTCTGATAGTGTGTATTTAAGTGTCTAATACATTAATCAGATAAGCTGGTTGTGTTGTATTGTGCCAGCAAGTTTTATATGTAATGGTATTTTTGTCTCAAATGCACTGTTGCACCTTTTTTCTGTTGTGCAGCAGAATGAATTGAGCAGGTTTTATTCCTCTGATTTTAAAGATATTTAGTTGATATTTAATGTAAGTCATAAAATGGCAGTAATAAGCATGTTCTAGTAAAATAATAGAAATGATTGCAGTCATTGCTAATGTGGTGTATCAGTGGTAGAAATGTTATTCTAATTTGTTAAGGCTTAATTAAATTCAAGATCTGATGTAATGGATTAAAGATGATTTTATAAGGTATCCTCATAGGGTAGTATTAGATAATATATAATTTCTAAAACAAGATCTAAAATATTAGTAATTAATTAATCAGTAATTAAAAATAATACTATTAATTTAAAACATATGACAAAAAACAGACATTAATGCTGTTTTAAGGGATTCAAAAAGATACAACTAATAAAAATTGAAAACTCCTTTAAGATACAAATCTCAAAAAGTCTTATGTTGCCATATTTTATGTTCTGTTTAACTCTTGTTTTGGTAAACTTTTTTACTTTTTTAATGTAGTATATCATTCTTTGTAATGATTAATGTTTTCTAGGTGGTCTGCCAAAGGAAGCATGAGTTCTGGTGACCACAGTATTACAGGACAACAAGCTGAAAATCTCAAGTAAGCATTTTTATCATGTTATACACAGATAATTTTTAGATTTTTTCTTAAAAAGGGAATAAGAAAGTTGCTGTAGAATTTTGAAGTGTACTTTATACACTGTGGAATAAAAAAAAATACACAGTATCTGAGACAGGGTTTCAAATTACTGTTACATTTTTAGCAGTAACAGTCTGTGATTCTTAGACTGGCCATGGTGATCATACTTTTTCATCAGATGAGGTCTTCTAGTTTTGTTGCAAGTTCATCTCTGAAATATACTTGCTTCTCCCGGCTGAAGAGAGCTGTGGAGTAACAGAAAGGATGAGGGCTCATTTTCAGATCAGCTGCTTCTTACCATTGAACTGGAAACAAAATCATTAAACAACTTCAGAACCCTTGGAATTGTACTAATCAATCAAAGTTTATTAATCAAATGCACAGCAATACAGCATGCAGCAGTAGTTGCCGACATTGATAGCCGTAACCTGATGTTCTCGTCCCCAAGAAATAGGCTATTTGAAAGCAAATTGAAACAAGTAGAAGCATTTCAAAATGAATAAAAAAAAACAGTTCAATTAGCTCTGTCGGAAAGATGCATCCGCGGTGTGGCCAAGTTCACTGTGGTGCAGGTTGAAAGTGAAAGAGATGGCCGTGATGAGCTTCCTCTGCAATCCGAGGTGACGAAGCAAGCCAGTACGCTAGAAGTGGAAGCTGAAGTGTCAGCCTGCTCGGGGGCTCTAGAGATAGCAGACGATAGTGGATGGTTTCTAAATGGTGCTTATTTTTTATACACATTGGAAGTGTTTTGTGCACATAAGTATTGCAAACAAATAGAAATAAATCAGAAAAAAGAAGTTTCCAGCTGTTGGGGAGCTTATAGTTTTTGCAGAAACATTTTAGGGTGTTTGCCTTTGATAGAACGGTTGTGTATGAAGCTATAGTAGTTAATGGATGCTTTCAAACCTAAATCTGATATTTATGTTAATGTATTGTGTATATATATTTTTGCAGTTCGTGCTAACTCTTACTGTAGAATTGTGTTACTTTTAGGGCTGCATTACCGGGACCTCTTTAGTAGAATTATTTTAATTGTTTGTGAACTTACATTTTTCCCCCAAGGCTTTTCAAATATTTCTGCATCAAGTAAATGAGCATTATGAACTACAATGAGCCACTTTCTTTCCAGACATCAAGTAAAAATTACATTAAAAGCAGTGTTAGGGATGTGTTGATCAGTGGTCCATTTCTTCAGTGTTGTTTATACCTAGAACTTGTGGTAATGTGTGAATCGGTAATCCTGACCTTTCTTTGCTGGGCTGTTTGTGCTTCAGCCCCTGGGTGATGCCTGTGGTGGGCAGCCCACCAGCAGTACCTCCTGTGACATTTGCCTCCATACTTGAGGAAGAACGGCAGCAAGAAGCTGCACTTATCAGGAGCAGAGAAAAGCCCTTGGCCTTGATCCAGGTAATCTCCCCTAAGAAAAGAGGGCAATCACAGCATATAGTCTAGCGAGCTAAAACCTAAAGTGTTTTTTTTTTTGTACATTTGTCTTTAATAGCATACATTTTTGGAAAGGTATAAACCCTTAAACAGCAGAGCTGACAAGGATTGTGGATGATCTGACTGCTTCAGAAGTTCTACAGTAATTTACTTTTGTTCCAGTTTATCACACACAGTCCTATGGGAGATTGCCTTTGTGATTTGCAGATGCATTGACAGAAATACAAATAAATGAAAAAAGAAAATGAATTTCAAAATGTAAAAGGAAGATGGCATTGCACTGTTTCACACACGTGCCAATAACAACATGATAAACAATGTGCCAGATAAAGATGATAATTTAACACCATCCTTAATCGACATATTTCAGACATACATGCTAGTCGACCATAATGACAATGTTGGTTCTTATGACTCAACACGTAATTATAATCCATTAGAAAAATGTTTTGAATGTGGGCAGGTGATTAAATTACTGCAAAGACATTCATAGAGTGTTCATAGAAATCCTTCCTGTTCTCAGTTTTAATTTGAGATTAATAAATCCCCAGAATGCCTCCAATTTTCATTTTGCACGACAGTTTCCATATCTAGTTAATCTAGTTGGTTATTTTTTTTAATTTTGAAGAAGTCTGCTGCATTGACTTTGTAAATGACTTTAAGAATTTTGAATACTTGTATTAGACCTATTAGTAGTCTTCTCTGTTCAAGACTGAAAGGTTCAGTTCTTCCGATCTATTAGTGGTACAACATTCCTTTAAGTCAAGGAATGCTTCTGGTTGCTTTTCTCTGGACTGATTTCAGAGCATCAATTACAGTTTTGTAACATGGTGACCTAAGTTGTGCAAAAAATTCCAAATGGAACCTTACCATTATTTTATACATTTTTAACATAATATCCCTAGATTTTAATTATTTTCTTTTAAATATAAATTCTAACATTTTTAGTTGATTCCCCACATTCTGTTCCCAGTCTGAGTCTCTTTGAATTTCACATGCTGCTTCCACAGTTATTTCTGATCCTCCGGTATCATCTGCGAACTTGACTAGTTTACTAACTAGTCCAGACTCTGTATTGTTGATATAAATTAGGAAGAACAGATGTACTAGTACATTTCCTTTTTAAAAAAAAATCTTCCTATCATGCACAGATGCTTCTAAGTTTCACTTTCTTTCTTCTCTCCCTTCCTTGCATTTATCTTAAATTAATAAGTAGTAATATTGGGCATAGTACAAATTACATTAGGCTCTAAAAACACACAGCTTCCACGTGTGGCTTGAATAGGTACTGGAACCAACCATCTGTTTCTGTTTCACTATTAAAGCATTTGTGGATCTGTATGTCTCAAACATTCATTTCTGTTTGGCTTTTTCAGATTGAAGAACGTGCTATTCAAGATTTGCTTATCCACTACAAGGCTTTGAACAACCCAGACGAGTTCATTGTCGTTGAAAGAACCTCACAAGGCCCAATAGCAACTCCGATGTGGAACAAACACTGAGTTTTGTAACAAAAATACACCAACTATCAACATGTATTTGAACATGTGTAATGCATCTCAAACACCTGATACAGGTTTTTCATTTGTATAACTGTCTTTATATGCTTGCATTTATTTTTGCATCTGCATAAAATGGACATCATACACATGATTAAATCATATTTTAGCCCTTGTGCCCTTGAGAGACTGGGCAGAAAATGCAGGGTGTGAAATAATGATAATGAAACATTGTCCATTCTGAAACTGGTACGATTGCTCAGTATTGTTTACATGCATATGTAATATTAGTTAAAAGTATATATTTTTAGAAAAGGAATTTAATTTTTTCTTTAGAATGCGGAATCATTAACAGCAGCCTAGAGATAAGAAATGACAAGATAAGGTGTGTGCCTGCACACCCCTTCCCCTTCTCTTTCTCTGTCAGTGACGAACACGAAGGGCCTTGCTGGAGTATGAATAAAAGCAGCTGTGTGATCAGCTATGATTAACAGAAGGGCGTTCACACATCAACAGTTTGGGATGTCGGATTCGTTGAGTTATGCAATCTTTAGCTTGTAGATCTGGAGTTGATGTGTTCGTTGTATATTCTTTTTGAAAGAGAGCTAAGCTTAGGTGTGTATGAAAGAGAGTGCCCTATTATGCAGTTGCTCTGCAAAGACTCCAGCCTCCAGAGAGAAGCAATAAAGAATACATCTGTGTAATAAACAGTCTTATCAGATCTCTTTAGTGCGGTAATGGTTGTATTCATTTAAGATTTTTCAAGTGTACTGATGAGCAATTTTTGTTGCTGTCAGCATATTGGAGACTTTTAGGTTTTGTGGTTTCCTAATCATCTTCGCTTTTGTCAGATCTTCTGTCTTCTGAAATATTTTTGTGGTCTTTTTGGACTATTCACGATGCAATGTCAAAGTTAGAAAAGTAGCTTATTATTAATACTTTTTTTTTGCTAGTATTATCCTTTAATTAATTTTCATTATACTAGTTATAGAAAATGCCATGCTATGCTATGGCTAAACATGATTTATTTAAGTGTTTTGGTAGGGAATACAGTATGTTTTACTTCACCACTGTCCATTATTATTTTTGCATCTGAGAGGGTGAAAAAATCCAGGAAGGACTGGTAAGATCTGTTTCCTGACCGGTTGTGGGCTCTGGTTCCTGGTGTTGACACTACTGCTGTGCCCTTGGGCAAAGTATATTACCCAAATTGTTCTAATTTGGACCAGAATTATGTAATACACTGGTAGTTGTAACTTATTTATGTTGCTCTGGACAAAAGCATCAGGCAAATACTTAAAATGGAATAAAAGAAAAAATGGTTTCAATAAAGAAAAGTGAACCTATTGCAAAAAACATTTTTTTCTAAAGCAAATTCATTCTTGAATTTATTTCTCATCATACAACAGGATAAAACACATGCTTTTATTATATTACTCTTTCCTGTCTATTTATAATAAGATGTGTTACAACAGATTTTTATGGTTTTTCATCATGTTTTAGAAATAATATTAATGGAAATACAGTAATCTACATACTGCATATACAGTATAATAGTTTAAACAGTTTTCAGCACACTTGTGTGAAATATGTAGAAAAGCTGTGACGTGCAATTTTTTTCCCCCACAGTTCAGCCTTTTCAGTTTTCTGAAAGAAATGCAGTGCTGGCTGTTAGAAAATCAAATCAGTTTTGCAAAAGAAAAACGTTATCTAGTATTTAAATACCAACTCCCTTACAATATGGGAGGCGAAAGGAAATGAAAGTATCAAGATGTGATGTGTATGTAAAATTCAAAGTAGAATTTTCAGAAAAAGCATTTCGTAACCGAAGGCAAAAGATTTTATGCTCTGATTTCCAAGAAAAAATACTGTACAGTATGCAAGAATGTTAATTTTACCATTACCCACTTTGTCATTTTTAATCAATGTACCATTTCATAAAAATAAGAGTATGATGTAGCCTCCTTCTATTTTATTAATAGCAACAAAATACAAGATCAACCAGGATGCAGAAGGAGTAAAAAGTGATTTTGTTTGACTGCAGGAATCAGTAATCAGGCCCTGTGTTGATAATTCTTCACTTTGTTTTCATGCAAGAACCTACAGACACTACTTATTTCACTGGCAAAAAATATATTTACACTAGTTTCTGCCTGGGGTGCTCCTGAAAGGAGAATTAGGTAGTTTCTGTTATGGGTAGTCAATGCATTAATTCGGCATTAATTAATAATTCATTTTTTATCATTTAGTCCCAGCAGATTTAATACAAAACAAATACGTTAATTTAAACAGACGATACAGGTTATACATGTGTTGTACTGTATGTATATGTGTAATAAGCACATTGAAACACCATCGCATGTTACCACTAGTTCTTTATAAACCTTCTTTAATGTTAATATTGTTACAAAAATTGTTAAAATCAGGAATTGACCAAGCAGGAAAGTCAGTAAGTAACATTATTCATAATCCCAAACTTTTAAGTGATTTCTCCAGAATATACCCCAGCTGTTGGTATAATTAAGGGCACATTCATTCTTTATTCTCTGGCACAGTTTTGGTGAAAGGAGAAATAATCCAGGCACACTTGGTTAAACGATTATTTATTAACAATGACAATTCAAACACTACACTACATACAGCATAAACATACAACACACAAGTTACTATGTCTACAGTATGTACAAACAAGGTGTTTCAGAGGCTTAGCGTTCTAATCAACCTGAAAACCCCAGTCTGCTACTAAGCATTGAACTCCTAATGCCTACAGAGGCCACACAAGAGATGAACTGCCTTCTAACTAAATGCAGTGCAACCTGCAGTTAAATCTCTCTGCACCCTGGATGCCACAAAATAAATAGGAGCTATCTCCCTATTCTAGAAATGCATCCACAAGCAGGAAAGATGTTTCTAACAGTTATTTTTTGCCCAGGAAACCTAAGCTTCCTTAAAACACAGAATAGCAAGCTCCCCCTAGCAAGGTTCAGATACTTGGCTCCGGTCAGGTTTTGCCTGGATGATCATGAAGTAGGGGCTCTCGTCTGGGGCATGCCTCAAGTTCCAACTCCTGACTCCTTTCTTGCCTTTCTCTTCTTCTGCTTGTCTCTCCTCTTGTGTTCTTAATGTGATCTTATGTGTGTGTTTCTGTACTGCTCATTGACGATCACTAACCCATGATTTACCTAGCCATACCAAGGTAAACTTTACAATTGTTCTTGCTCAAGGGACCTCCCCACACCTCAGCAAACATCCTCTCTGCTTTAAAGCTAAAATAACAGGTGTCACAACTTTATCTAAACTCTAAGAGACACTTCCTAGTGTCCTAAGGCGGTAACAATATGAATTCTAGTAAGACAGAATGTAGTTGATCTTCTCTTATTTCATTTGATTTGTTAATCTGGATTTCTAGCAACACAAGTTGAAGTTGGAGTAAAGTTTTTTCCGATTTTGAATGATTGAATAAATTAATTTTTATTAACTATCCTTAATTTGTGCTGTTTGATCTGTTGTTGTGACATTGTATTTAAGCACACTAATATTTTCAATATGGTTTCTAAGCTGTTTTTAAACGGTACCTATTGCTTTGGTACAGTACTGTATGTTTCATCATGGTTGGAAGTGTTGTCAGTTCTGGTTAATTGCATAGTGTTACAAGGCTGATGCCAAGCCTGATTGTATCTGTCTTTATTTTGTGGAAGTATTGGTATCAAATTTTGCATGCACCAGATAAATTATTGCGCTGCTTTCAACATAAAGATGACTGTAATTTACACTTCAGCAATGCTGAAGATCTTAAAAGCCAAGTGGATTGGAGGCTACAACTACTAAACTGAAAAGTAAAAGCAAAGAATAAAATGGCTCTGCAACCAAAACATTAGATGTTTGACAGGTGGATTTAATCTTTTATTTGTTCCTTTTCAGTTGGTTTCTTTGACCTCAACTGTCACCTATCAGCTTACAGTAGACGTTAATACTCTTTAGTACAGCAGAAAACCATTTTTTGAAATACTAGTATTAACATGGTCAAAAACAATTGTGGATTAAAATTAAGCACTGCATGAAAAAGGAAACTAAGCATTTCGCTTAATAACAACATTAGTGTTTTTTTTTCATAAATTTCCAGAGTTCACCAAAAGGAAAAAAATGATTAGAATGTGCTTTCACTTTAATAATAAAAATAATAAAATATTTGATGGGCGCTTGTTAATGTTTTATAAAATATAAATATGCATTTATACAAATGTTTCTTGTTAGGATTAAATGTGTGATTGTTATGTAGACCCTTCAGGCATGGTGCTCAGTTTAGGAACCCCTGGACAATTTTTCCAATTAAATTAAGCTAATTGTGTGGGTGTTTACTGTTATTTACTGTTAATGGAAACAAAAAGCCTTACAGCTGTTTTGTTTCCAAACCTTAACTGGTCTCAAATAATATTGTCAGTCCCACAGTCAATACAGTGTAAAACAAAAGAATAATTTCAATTGCAAGTTAATAACATGAAGAAGAAAGAGCAGACTTCTAAGCCAGAAAGGGAAATAGGTTTTAAGATTGTGTTTCTGGCTGGGCTTTTCAGAACTCTTTTTGCTAAACTTCACACGTCCCGTCCTTCGTGCAATGAAGTATCCTGCATTGTGCCCCATGCCTGCTGGACAGCCTCTGGCTCCTCCACAACCCTATATTGGATAAGGTGGCTAGAAAATGAATGGAAGGATAGAAATAACTTACACTCCTTCAGCAAAGACCATTCGGTAGATCCACTTTTCTTTAATAATGGATGATAGATATTTAATATGTCAATAAATGGTTTTGAATATTCATCAATAACTGCGATAGAATATGTTCAGTGGTTATTATCAATATTATTATCATTATCATAAATGGGTTGGGACTCATTTTTAAAGTTAAGTAGTTAAAAGCTTTACACTATAATCTGATGAGGCTGCTTAAAATATTCAGGTTATCGTTTGTTTTTGATTGTGACCGTGTGAGTGTGAACACAGAAAAACAGTCTGAAGACTACTTTAATGCTTGTGATGATTCCACATTTGTTGTAAGCTAATCGAATCCAAGATCAACTAAAGACCCACTTGTCATTTTCACCTGATGCAAGTCATTTAATGCACACAGGCTGACTGTTTCTAATCGCTGAGACGGGTAACAGGGAACTGCATGTGTCGTGCTATAAATGGATATCTCAGGATTTATCAATTTGTGGCCAGGATTAATTAGAATAACATCTCCACAGTGTTGAGCAAATGGTGGACACGGTCTATTGCAATACTGTTCCTGGCCAGAAGAATCTTTGAAATACTTGAATACTTTTTTAAATCAGTATTTAGTCAGCTGCATGCTAAGTGCAAGACTCCCCTTGTACACAACATTTGCCAACAATGCAGTGCAAAGAAATATACTTAAATTACTGCCTATTTGACCAGCAAATATTCCGCAAACAATAAACCACAACAGTTTCCAGAAGCCCACGTTAATCACTTTTAGCAAACATTTGGTAAAAAAGGAAGCTGACCGTGTTCAGTACTTCTTCTTGTGCTAAATATACTGTAAGTGGCTTCCTTAAGAAGAAAGGACAATGATTGTGCATTTTGTTTTAAATGTGTCATTACCTCAATTGATTTATCTTGTAAACTGTATATAGGGAAACTTGTGACTGGAAGATGTCTGTGTTAGGTGTACAAAACAAATTGTCTAAAACATAATAAAATGTCAGATTTTAAAAAAATTGTAATGCTTTTTTACTTATGAACGTGAGAAAGGATGTCAATCTCCAGCCGTTTTGTGGTTTAGTGCCTTAGTGAAACTAAAATTTGGGCCTCTGCAAACTGGGAAGCCTGTTCCAGATGCCTACAATGGTTTGTGTAAAAAGAATTTTCTTATTCTTCGTCCTAAATGAATTTGTTTACAATTGTTACTATGTATCCTTGTTTCAGTGCTGAAAGCAAAATAGTTTCCCTGGTGAGTCTTATTTATACCCATTGGGATCGTATATGCTTGAATCAAATCTCTCAATGTCCTATGTTCTAGACCAAAGAGATTGAGCTCCCCTAGCCTGCCTTTATATGGCTATCCCCTGAGACCCAGAATCATTCTTTTTGCTGTTCTTCTTCAGGCTATCATAACTTGTGCTAAGGTGTCCAAGAATAAGCACAATATTCTAAGTGAGGTAACACATTTAGGTTAATTCCATGCTGAAAAGTGTGGAGTTAAATTCTTTTTGTACTTTGGCATCTAATTGCAGAAGCTTCCCTCTTGATATTCTAAACATGGTCTTGCTAGTGCAATGTAAAGTGACTTCTCTAGGTTTTAAATTCCACACTTTTTCCAAATTCC